CTATCATTATTCAGTTTTCGTTTACTTTACAGACTGATTTGTAGTGTAAATATTAAGCACTAGTAGCTAATCGTTAATCTTTATGAATCTAAATGACCGTATCTATCTATATTTGTAGATAAAATTGCCTATTTATTGTATCATCGGAATTAGTTACTTTGCTTATTATACTGTATATTTCTATATAAGGATGTCTAGGGTACATGTTAATCTGCGTACACGTATAAATAGGTGGATATCTCTATAAAGCGATAATGGTTTGCTGCCGGCTATAGAGTAATAGATTTTTGGCTACCTATTTATCACTATTACTATAGTGATATAGAGGTAATCATTTAATTCTACAGCTATAATTAGTTGTTGTTAAGAATCCTTTTCTTGCCTTCACTTGCTCACACCTACACAAGCTACATTATTACTTTTATTTCCCTCTTCATTATTTACCCCTCCTTATCATTTATAATATCCTATTTTATTTACTTAAAAATTCCTATTATGGATATAGTCTCAATTTCAAGGCAAGTAATACTCGACGAATGATCAGTATATCCTGCTCTTAGTTAAAGCGGATAATTAGTATAGTATCGCTTCTGGCAATTTATATTTTTTGTATTATATCATATCTCTTATGGATGTTAATTAATTTCATCATTTGTACAATATTGAGTAAAATACTTTTTTAATCTAAATAAAAGAAAGATTATTTTTGTAAAGTTTTCTATCCATACACGTATTGTCTTCATCAGTGAATAGAAATTGAGATTTGAATTCTCTTTACATAACGCCTATATAGTCTGCTATCGTGGTGATAAAAGTTATAGCACTATTATAAACTGTATACTTATAGGCAAAATATCCTAGGATGTATAATGCTATACTAGTGATTATTAGTATTGCTTTTGTTTGCACAGTATCTATACGCCTATATGCAACAGTAAATGTATATGCAAAATACAGTATGCATTATCAGTCTAAGGACTAAAATAACACAGTATATGTTATATATAAGTAATATATCCGGTCTATTTAAAGTCGATCAGATAATTTACGAATCGATGATCTGACATATTACTGATATGCATATATGCAGGTTCCTTATATTTATTTTTACTAACTGAACTAGGAATCTTAGATTGTATATTCTACGGTATATCATTTAACTGCAGACAAAATGGTTGTGAAGATTACTAAATCAGCTAATCTAAATTCTAATTATTATATTTAAGGGAGTATATATCAGTCTATACTTTGTATGTATTTTATACATCTATTAGTTCTTGTTTTTGTTATATACAGAAGATTCTTTAGTCTGCCATGTTTATACATAATTTTCTTTTCTTATATTTGCTTTAGTATTACTATACAAGCACATATTATTTAGTTTTACTTCTTTACATTATGCTTTTTCACGCGAGATAACGCTTACTTTTGTTATTGATTTCTAATTGAGCTAAATTCTCATACACACTGTTAGACTGAAAGGAACAAACCATGGTATGTTTATATATAACAATATATATATTTGTAGATTTTTAGTTCATGTTTCTTTGATATGCCGTGTTATTTTTTATAACGCGGATATTCATCTTCTTTTATTATAAACTAAGTAAGCTAAATCTTATTACCTACTGCTGAGTTTACAATTTCGTGTATGTATCATAATATGCGTTATACATATATCTTCTTTTTATTCAGCTATTGCATTTTCTAGTTTCAGATAATCATTTTCTAATGTACTTTAATATCGACAACTAATAAAATTACAATAGCTTACTATTCGGTTAGCAATAACAGTACTTAGTTAATAATCATCAATTCTTCTTATAACGAATCTTAGACGAATCTTAGACGGACAAAGCGGCAATATAAAGTGTATATGGCGTATTTTTGGTATCTTTTTTCTTACTATTCTTACTCACTTATTTTTTAATCTGCTTCAATGTCGCCGATTAATAAGGTTACAAATACTATAATGTAATATGCTGTCAAGCAATGATAATGCTAACTTGGCAACAAGCAGTCTAAGACAGATGATTCGAAGAATATACTGTATATCATGCATTGTTGAGTTCTTGCCTTTTACCTTTTTTTACGTAGATGCTCTCTATTTCACAATCGACTTCAATACTGACAATTAGTAAAATTACAACAATTCACTATGATGACAGACAAACGACAATGCTAAATTAATAAAAATCTATTTGCATAATGGCGAATTTTATTAGACAGACGATATGAGAAATATGGAGTATTGTAAATTATATATTGTTCAGCTCTTGGAATCCATCAGCTTCAAATACTCTTCATTCAGTAATCTACTGTAATATTAACAATTAATAAATTTGAAATAGTTCGCTGGACTGATTATAATAAAATTCTAATGCCAAGTTAGCGACCATCAATATGATAATGATACTTCTTAGACAGACGATGCAGGAAAATTATATGGTATATTATTCTGCGCTTGCATTTTATCTGTTTTTGGCACTTTCCTTTCTGTAATCTACTACTATATTAATAATAAATAACGTTTCAATAATTCGCTATGCGAAGGTCGAATGATAGTGCTAAGTTAGCGAATATCACTTTACTTGATAACCGATTTTATTCAGCATATGGCACACGGAAGATATTCTGCATATAGAGCTTTTGCGTCTACCTTATTTCAAAAATTCTTCCTTCTATTACTTACTACAGTATCGACAACCGATAGAACTGTATGAAATTTACTATGCTGATCGGTAAGGATAGCGGTGGGTAGACAATTACTGTATTCTCTATATGACAGTAAATACTGGACAGACATTAGACCGGCGAACGGCGTCATGGCCAAGATATCTGTGAACTCTAGACTTGCCCTTAAGTTAGCTGACCTATATCAGAGTAGTACATGATGGTGCACAAAGCTACGAAAGATTTGCAAGTTCTCAAATGCTATCTAATGCAATCAATACACAAATATTATGATGCCCGTGTATTATAACTTGTAGATAGTAAATGATCTTCTACTACAGTATTTTGATCCTAAAGCAAAGATAAAAATTTATGATCATGTCAATAGCATGGCTAGAGGCATAATATCGGCAGTTATTATAAATAATTACTGTGAAGTGGTCTTTATAAAATAAAGATATGCGATTTAAAATGTTCAATTTTGACAGGATATCTTGCACGTTAATAAGGATTAGGGTTAATATATGGCATAGTATTGATCGCTTTGGTCTTTTAAAAAATAATACAATAGATAAATTCCTTTGGCATGTTTTCTGTCTGGAAGCTTTGATATTTAATAATATAACGACTGAATAGAAAGAATGCATAGACGTAAGACATCACCGGCTATGGCTACACTCTTCACTACATAATCTAGAAATTAGCATTTTCATTATTGTCTTAGTCGACCAAGGAAATAATATCCACAATAGAAGAAATTGTCAATGAAATACTACCAGCACAGGTTAAATAAGTCCTAGTTGTCTTGTTATGCCAGGAAATGGCTATCTACCGTATTTGATATACTGTACTATCATCTTCGTCCGATCTCCTATCACTGCGGTATCTTTTATGATAAGTTAGTCGGCGGGGCCGTAGACTATTCTATGTTAAACCATTGGCTACGGCTTAGTCAGTAATCATCGCTTTAGTAACGATAGTCCATTACATTAAGATTAAATATGACGGAAATGGATATTACTGTAATTCTACGTGTAATATTTATTGATAGAAAAATCAATTTAAAGATATGATCGTTCCCTGTTTTTTGGAATGTCATTAAATTTATTTTTTCTTTTTGTTCTATCTTTGCCTACCCTATTACAATAACAAATATGTACTACGTCAAAAAAGAATAAACCCCCTTCTTGACTTCGGTCTGGTTAGATTTTACTAAAGAAGATTTTATTCTTTCTTTAGCCTCATTTAAATATGAAAAGAAAATCAATCTTTGTCAACTTTGATCATTATTAATAATATATAATAAATAGATCTTTTTCGTCATCGCAGCGGTGCTATCTTTATTATTCCTCTACATCTTTAATTTCTTGAATGATCGTCTTTTGATGAGTCTTTATTTAAGTAATTTAATTTTTATACCACTGTATAATAAATTCTTCCCCACCCATTCTCTGCCCTATCTTTCCATATTCTAACTTACTATTTGTTTGAACTACGACTACTGTACTGCATACTGGCCTATATATTAAATTGTAAAATATATTGAAGGCTTGATACTGTATCTTTACAATAAACTCGAGTTATTTTTTGCTGCTCTTTCAATCTGTAGTTTACAACAGTATTTGGATCGATGCAAGTGGCATTATAAAATAATAATCGCCATCGTAACTAAGCCTTAGGACAATTTTGACTCTGATATCTTTCTTCAGTATTAATGAATCATTATCGTGCACCAATTTTAAACATTTAACTCCAATCATTGATGCAATGATCGATCTTTGTTAACATGGTAATGGATACCGTTTTAGATTACATTAACGCTTAATGCTCAATCCCAAGCAAATAGATAAAGTCAATTTGTAATGGACTACCGTATCTCGCTACATGAAGTTTGATATCAGCAAAAGAGAAGAAAGAAGTTACTTACTAACAACATAAAAGGAAATAGAATCAAAGTAAAGAATAACTACATCTTTGGGCAACTAAATTATTATTTATTCTGGTTAGAAGGAGAGATTTTATTCTCTACCAAGAACGAAAGAAGTGGATTCACTGTTGATTAAAAGAAAGAGGATTTCACTTAAAAATATTGGAAATAATATTAAATAATTAGTCAAAGCTGTTGTTATACCTAAGTTGGAGAAGATAAGGGAGGTAATTATCATTCGACAGAATTCACCGACTACTATTCAAGTTTTTTATGCGGCAAATAATCATAAGTAATTTAACAACTACTTCTTTTCTATGTCGCATTAATTGCGTTTATGATACCCATCTTGTATACTTTCTAATCTGATGGATCGATATTAATTAATGGCATATTCGAGATGAGACTAATCCGCTGCCGTTATAATCAATTTAATGATATTCCAGTATTATCGCCAAGAATATCATCTCAACAAGAGTTATTCGTAGATATTTATATCGGACAACCTAATCAAGGCAGCCATCCGTTAGCTTTTCAATTAAGATGGTTGAGAGAGGTTCGCCATGGTCAAATTGATAGCTCAATTCATGAAGCTCTAAGTAAACTATTCCAATTAGCCAATGGAAATAATTTACCTTTGGAACAGCTAATCGAACTTTTCTTAAGTAATCCTCATATTGATAGCTGTTTTCCACATAGTTTACAATCAGTTCAAAATGATAATGATCCAACATTGCAATTTCTTCATTTAAATCATAGTCAAGATAGTCATTATCATCAACTTCAAGTTAATCAAGACATCGGTAGGATTATCGATCAATTTGTCTCTAATGATTTTGTTAAATGGATCTACGATAAAGCTATCGATATCTATAAACAACAGGTTAAAGAAAACGATAATCCACATGCATACTATCAATTAGGTTATATTTATCACTATGGCCTTAGTTCAATTGGTATGGATGCCAATAAAGCGTTTAAATGTTATCGAAGCGCAGTCAATAAAAATCATCCTGGAGCTCAATTTATGCTATATCAGTTATATTCTAGTCAAAAGCGATGCCATCGTTTATCAAGCCGTAATGATTATTGCACTAAACGCCCCACGCAAGTGGTAACAAAATGTCCGTCGCCAGAAATACTGCAATCAGCTGCAACTATGACTGAAACTGCAAGCGTTGAAACAATTGGTGATCACAGTATGCCACAATCAAGCGATGATTGTGCAAATAATTTGTATAATTTTTCTTGCCTTGGTGGGCATTCTAATATAGCAGCTACAACATCGTCCTTACTAACTTTGACCGATAATAGCAATTTATCGCATCGCTATGTTAAGGTGATTGATAATATACAATTGATTGAATTAAAGGTCAAGATGTATGTGAAAGCTGCTGCTACCGGTAAAGGTTACACTGATGCTTATCATCAGCTTAGTATAGGCTATGATATTTGGCCATTATGGCGTGAAGCTATCCACCGATTGCATTCACAATTGCTTGAAACTATTAATCATGGAAATCGATCCAATCAATTAACTCAACATCAATTAGCAGACACATATAATCAACTGGGATTTTTAACTCTTTTTCTTAATATTACCAACATAGAAGTAGATAACAAGAAAGCACTATTATATTTTAATAAAGCGGCAGCATTGGGTAATCCAAGCGGCTACTATAATATCGCTGAAATGTATTCCCAAGGCTATACTACCGGAATCAGTCTTGATCAAGAAGAGTGTGAAATGATTATTATCAACTATCGCTGCTCAGCAGCTGAACATGGCCATCACTTGTCACAATTTTTAATGGGGTTGTACTATACTCATTATCAAGAAAATTTAATTAAAAGTTCGTACTATTTTATCCGTTCCTTGCAGTACGGTTATGCGGCTACATTATCTTATATAACATTTTACTACTTTCACGGTTGGGGCGGAGTTAAACAAGATTTCCATCGGGCTTATTTATATTGTTTACTAAGTGCTACCGCAAATGATTATGATTTTGCTATTACTGGCAAGGATAATCGTTCTGAAGCATACGATATGCTTGGTTATATGTATGAACATGGCCTAGGCGTTGAAGTCAACTATCAAACATCGCTTCAATGCTATGCTCAAGCTGCACGTCTAGGCAATTTACAGTCATGTTGTTGTTTAGCTAAACTAATCGAAAAGGGGAAAGCTGATATTAATGATCGTTTAACTAATGCTGTACAATTATATAAATTTGCAGCAGCTTCCACTAGTTGTGTGCAGGGCTACGCAAATTATCGCCTGGGTAAATTATACAGAAATAATCAAAATATTGATTTTTATGATCAAGAATTAGCTAAAATCTATTTTAAGCAAGCTTGTAATTTCTATCAGCAAATTCTAGAGACTGCAAGACCGGCACAACTCTATCATTTAGGCATCATGCATCAGTATGGTTATGGTACTGATATCGATAAAGTAACTGCTAGTAATTACTATAAAAATGCTATTAATCAATCACAACAATCAAAAAATATATTTGATCTTTACTATAGTAAAAAAGCGAAGAAGCGATATGAACAATTAAATATTCATCCCAATTGACAGATAAGAGATTTTCATATATACAGTACATTAGGATAATGTTCGCAAACTACGTTTGTAAATATCATTTATGCGATAGAGGTCAGCCGCTTAACTTTCCTGTTATTCAGTATAATTGAATACATTTATTTAAATGCGATCTCATTTAGTCGATAAGATTCTGAATTATCTACTCGGATTACAGCTGATTTTTAAATGAATAATACAGTCTATCCACGTACTAAGATAACAGATAAGAGCAATGGTTATATTAATATGAAGCTGCTTAGGGTTAATAATTTATTATCCTGTTATAAAACTTAATATATTATTTAAGTTATCACAAGACTTTACTTGTTAAAATTCAAAACTATGAATTTTCTTCATTACCGGTCTGTCGATTATAAATTATGGTATTTCATTCGAATAAAAAGATTTAATTAATTTAGTAGAGACGATAAAAATTATATTTTTTATTCCCTCTTTGGCTTATAAGATTGTTGGTTTATAAATCGTTTAGGTGCAAGATCTCTGCTTGATTTTAAAGTTATTCAAATTTTAGTTTTCGTAAACTCAATGACTCAGAAGAGGCGCATAATTTATACTTTCAGTATAGTATGACACAGAAGACTAGAGACAGGGATCATTTCTGTTAACCTTGTCCATCTTATTTTACGGCATTGCTATATTCAGTGGAGGTGTATTAGTAGCAGGCCCGATGTTAATTCATTTTTGAATAGCTACGGTAAGAAAACCCTTATCATCCGAATAAACATTTCTGACATATTAAGTAAATACTTTACTACAGTTCAATTAAAATGTATCTGAGGATATCTTGTAGCCGTTTTCCGCATCTTTGAACAAAAGAATGGCAAAAATTCGAACGATTTAAAAAATAGATTTTTTTATAGAGTGATTTCATACCGGAAACTATCCTACAGCCTTTTTTCGGAGATATTTGAATATTTGTTGCTAAGAATAGCAAATTTTTTAAATAAATTTAAAATATACTCGTTATGATGACATTCTATAATATCCCAAATATCGCCACAATCCATATCCCATGCATATTACATGCTGTATAACCAAGTATTTGATATGTTGGAGTAAAGTAATAGCTATGGTATATGAATACTGCCTGCATTCGTCTTTCCTGTAGATTTTTATGCTATAGTTCCAAATTGATTGACCGGATTTATTCGGTTGTCCGTATTAAATGAGCATATTACCTATATTATGTACGAATCTGGTACAGAATATTGACTGCATGTTAATTAGTATTTTACGTATATCGTGGCATATTGCATATTTTAGTAATTCATTTCTTTTTACACTACCAATATTTATGAGATCAAGCGCGTGTTGTAAACAATCAAAATGACGTATCGTACTATTCGAATCCATTACATACTGTACTATCTTGTATTTGACACTAAAAGTATGCCGTTTTGGATTTATATCGCAGTTTACTACACTCAACAAGTGCTCGCCAAATGATCTGGCGATATTGACGCACTCTGGCTATAAATATTGCTGTTAGTTATGATGGTATAAGACGAATAGATAAATTCGTCACATATTGTTACTTAGCGTAGCTATTTATGATAATTGATATCCAGTTAAGCAATTACTTTGCTGTTTATAGGAGTTCATCCATTATGATAACATATGCAGTGGACGAGTTAAGTGTCGTTTAAAGACTGAAAAGGCAATCAGTAATATGTATAACTGCAAAGCAAAATACACAATAGCATCCCAGAAGTATCCTATATCTTAGTATCCGCTAATTGTTTGTGCATTCAGTCATACAAACGTCCACTTTAACAGCTTCATGCAATTAGGAATACCATCATAATTTTATACTGAGCACCTATTCCGTTATAATCACTGAATATTTCACCAGTATCTTACAAGCGTAACCAGCAACATACATCGTTATATATTTAACGTCAAAACTTCCCAATAAATATTTTTATTTGTGATCAGACACGGTACCTAGAAATTTTTGAATCTGGTTACAGTGTTACTCTCTCAGTATTACTACACACGACTAATAAGATAAGCCAACACACAAATTGTGACAGGCCTAACTCAAACATCCTTCCAGGTTCGCTTGCATGCAGATTGCGTACAATCAAGATAAGCAGTTAACGGTATTGCACACAAAATTTACGGCTTATATATACTCATTAAAGAAAGCGAAAAGACGAAACCGCTTCATCTATTACAGAAACAAACACCTTTAACTTAAACTACTATTAAAAGCATTCGTAAAAACTCTATCGATTACGAACATACTTAAAAAGTGTGTACAATGCAGCTACTGCTGTACAGTATACAATTAATAACGCCAATCTATACAACCAAGACGAATCTGTAAGTCAGTAACAAATGAAAATTTTCTGGTTGCAAAAAAGAAGTCCCAATTGTCAACAGTGGAAACGTGTGCAAGTTCCGGCAATTGTGTTTTACATCAATGGAAAAAAATTTGAATTAGTAATGCTATTACTAGCAAGCTTTACCTGACAGTAACAGTTTATCTAAAAGCATTACGTAACAACAGCGTCCGCTTTCTAATATAACGTTTACTAAGTGAAGTTCAAACTTTTCTCACAACATATGCACAAGCCAGCATAATGACTTGTTCGTTTTTCTAAAAGGTTCTACTGTATGTATAAACAGACTTTGAGTAGCAACATTTTGGACACTGTACAGCAGGGAAATCCATCCGAGTAGTTATAGAAAGGATTGATTTAGCCTTAAAGCGTCGTTTTTCGTATCAAATAGTACTATCACGATACAAGTGTTATATGCCGGGTGCAAGCGGGTGGACTAATGGAAGTAGAAACTAGACAAGATTGTATTCCCTTAAGTTAAATTGAAGTATAGTGTCTTTCACAGCGGCAAATACAAAGCGAATATTTTCGGTGTCCGTAGCACAGGTAAAGTGCGAATAGATGATCTTCTCGCTATCTGGGTTCAGGTCAACAAACATTTTAAGTATAAATTCTCGACCAGCCTGTGCATCTCTTGGTGGACCTAATTCACGAAAAGAACAGCCATATAATTACAATCAATTAACAATTATTCTAACTAAGTTAGAATAGGATTGACATTAATAAAATGTTTTGTGAATTCATAAATGACAATATAGACAATTCTAATTATTAATTTTAGCTACCGTCATATTCAGGAAAGTAGTCAGCAATGTTTGACTTTTGTACTTTCTCTTCCAGAATATCTTTCTTATTTAAGAATAATATAATAGACGAGTTTTGAAACCAAGGATAGGTAATGATTGTCTTGAATAAGGCTTTACTTTCTTCCATACGGTTCTTAAGGTAAAAGATGAATAAGATAGCTGTTATAGCTGCTAAAACTAAATTATAAGACTTCCCTCCTATTCAAAACTTTTGTTACAAATATTTTAAATTATAATCCATAATGTAGTTATTGATGTCACCGGAGTGAGTACAACTACCTGGGAATCAGCTTCCGCAAGAATTTGATCGTATTCACTAAGAGCAACTAGAAACATGATAGAGGTGACATTCTCGAAGCAATGGATCCACTTACGACGTTCTGAACGCTGACCACCTACATCCACCATTCTAAATAAAGTAATCTTATTATTAGCTTTTAAATGACATCATCAGTGAACCTTTACGTCGTTAACTATGTAACGGTAAAGTCCGTTACTAATACAAGCAGTAAATCACATAATGTAGCTGTAATACTTATTCAGAATCAAAATGTTATAAAATTAAAGAGAATATTAATTGTGAAAGCCAGACGAAAGTATGTTACCATATAGCTATAAAGAATTTCAAACATACAGACAGTTACATAAATATGTAGAAAAACACATTTCTTCTTAATGTGATACTAACTACTCATTCCTAGTTTACAAGATAAATCAACTACTATAGGTTACTAGATTAGTTCCTATTTAAGGCAAATTTATCAGATTCATTCTCTTTACCGATTATGTCAATTTTAGCGTGTAAAGCACATACTGCTTAAATTGTCCATAACAAGTATTCGCTAATAAGCCTCAAATAACAAGCTCAATAGGGTACAAATTGCATTTGTAGGCTATTACAACTGCTGATATGCAGAATACCATCGAAACTACACTCACACCGACTATATATCGCTAAATTCATCCTTATTAATTAGCTGTAAAGATGTAAACATACATATATGTAGATGATTTGTGTACCTACCCGTAGCTGGTGTATAGGTGAAACTTCAGAGTGCTTTAATAATTTAGATTATATTTTGTGAGAATAATCACGTATACGCATATTCTTACATGATATATGTCTCCTCATTCAACTGTATTACTAATATCAACGTATTCAAAATACTTTCATCACTAAATGATATCAGTCAGAAATAATCAGATGGATGTCTTTGCGATACGCCTAAGTATAACATTCACGCTTATATCAAACTAATAAGGATGAAAACTTAAATTTACATCTATACAGTCAGCTAGAGTTAATTATATCAATAAAACACTAACTGGAATTTCGATATTCAAATATTTTTAAATTCGAAACATAGCATCATTTTTGCTAATTATTTGCACCCTAAAATAATAAATACCGGGGCAGAATCTAAGCCGCAATTTATGGACGAAATATGATCCAAATTGGGTTATTAATAGCAGGCTAGCGATAACTACTGTACTGTAAATAGTAACTACCGTACTATCGATAGGCGTTAGCGAATCTGGTACAACATGATATTGCAAGCTAGCGTTTTTTTATATGATTAGTGAGGTGGATGTAGTCAAGAAAAACTGAGTAATAGGGTTGCAGACAATGGCAACGTCGCTCTGACATTGTTTAGTTATATATAAAGAATAGAATAGAGTCATAGTTAATAAATGGGAATTTTGCTTTAACAAAATGCTCAATAGCAACCAACAAAATACTGTAATTACCAGTAATTACAGTATATCAATATCAAAGTACTCCCCCTTTATAGATGCAAATTACAGGACACGCAACACTTCGGGCAATATATTTATGTATCAAGAGATGACTCGGATAAAATCGATATACGGAATTAGCCAAATTACAAGGAAAAATTATAAAGGTATTAGATAGAAATAATACAGTATTCAGTAGAATCACCTTAATAATGTGATATAAGTTTCTATGCGAATTTCATATTCCTACAGTATCTTAAGTAGTTCGTAGTTGTGTAATATTACAAGAAGTTGAAGATGTCAAATAAATTTAATACGGTACAGTATCATCCACTGCAAAAGCCCTTATTTTAGGGTATGATGATGATAAGCCGGTGGATGTGACTTAAGCTATAAAAATCTTTATTTGTTAATGAAGCTGATATTATATGCAATAGGTAGAGTACAGTAGTTAAACAGAATGTAACTCCTTGTTTTAGTCTTAAAACCATGGCTAGATTTGCATAATTTTACTGGATGTGAGGGTAAAAAGAGCGATAGGTACAACTTTCTTTTAGACTTAAAACAAAAAATACATCTAAGAATTCTTGTAGAGTGTTTTCACAAAACTAATTACTAAATTGACTCTGAAAAAACTAGAAATAGGTCAAAATTCGACAGATTCACATACCTAAACATGACGGTATCCAAATTGAAATCATATTCAATAATTCCTGTTGTAGGCGCTCGAACACGTAAAATATCTTGTTGAGTCGGTAAATAATTTGGTTCTGCTAATCTATGCAAATCTGTAAGATAGCTGCAAGGAATATAATCAATTTAATTCCGGGTATCGGCAATTGTACTTAAACCAATACACTTTAATAAAAAGTCTTCAAAATTCAAACATTGATGTTATCTATCCGGTACCTAATTGATGTACTACAGTAATCATGGCGTAAAATCATACTATTTTCGAACCAAGCTAATAAAAGCGTAACAAAAGATTGCTTACTATTTCGCAGAGTCTGATAACTGATATTCACGGCGACGATCATAGCATTCCTGCACGCCGCTGTCATTCCAAATGCTGTCTATTGCTTCAACATGTTCTTTACTAAGGCTACCAACAGTTTCGGGATCGACGGTTCGCACTACATCTACTCGTTGCTATATGCATAATATATGAAGAAAAGTTAAGTTTGTAAAAGGTGTACAAATAATACACTTAACGGTGAAAGGTAGACCGAAATCGGGTAGTATAAACAGCATGGTAAATTTGTAGAATACTAGTATGCTGTGGATAAATAATAAAACCACAACCGCAACGTAATGTATTAAGACCTTTTACAATTATCAAAGCTACTCCTAGCTATCTAAATACGTCAAGGTCTGGATAACAATAATGCGTCTATTCGAGTAATTTAATATTTTCGGCTCCTTTTAGAATACTTAAGACGCTAGTAAACGATCTATCTATCGCTGATACAGTGTCTGAAATATCTATGGATAAGGAAATTTCCGTTAACTAAAGATAAATGGAATTGCTACATTTGTTGCAGATCAAAGCTGCAAAATCTAACTTCGAATCAAACACTATACACGTATTAAGTTTACCAGTGCGATATTAGCTTTCGTAAACCTATTTAGTAGAGTATAAAAATATATACAAAGAATGAGTTATTAAATTCTTGTCAAAGCAAGCTTTCCATGATCTGCATACATCGGAAAGGCGCAATTTGATGAGTAGAATCGTAAGTGTTGTAAGATGCTATATTAATTTACTAAGATGTGTTCACTTTTGAAGCATTACTTTTGTAAATGAATTTAATAAGAGAGCTCACAAGAAGATGCACGAATAAAATTGCACTATCATTACATACTACGAATTACCTTTGAGATTTACATGAAGGTGAACACTAGAATCGAACAACTACGAACGGGGTAAAACCCCTACGATATTCTATAAGCAATAGCAGAGATTTAAGAAATGTACAGTATGTGTAAGGGCATTTATAAAGTTCTAAATGAAATGAATTTTTTATTCATCTCGTAAGTAAGGGTGCAACCTAGAAGAAAAATTGCCGTTATGTGTGACTAGTGCTTTAGTGCTTAGGAAGGCTCAACTTTCCTAAATAATCTCTAAATATCCTGTACTATTGCTTATTACACAATGCATAAAGTATATAGTGACAGTTATAAGGTTAAAAGAAGTAAAGCTAAACTAAATCCGGCCTAGACGATTGCGGATGTAGAAGTATTGATTATGTTAGCGTATATTTATTACTACTAACCCTGTTCGATTGATGCTCATATGTGATATTAAGCGTTTCCATCGCCTTTATTAGTGCTTGAATCGCAGTGAAAATATTCTGGAATACGAGTTGAGTAAATTCGGCTCTATCATTATCTGTATAACCTTTACCATGGATAATTCGCATTTGTTTGATAAAAGTACTCTTGCCAGATTCACCAGTACCTGAAAGTATTACGTTATAAGTTAATAAAATTTTTAATAAAAGACCAGTATTACTTGTTACTTTAAAATACTTTTGCAGTTCGTATCTATCCGATATGTTTTTCACGCTAGATTATAGATTCCTATTCACATATTTGATGGATCTGTTCCGGAGACACTTTATATGTCAGACAGATACAGTATTACTTATGCTTAAACGATGAAGTTTTTAATGCTGTAGTGTGCTACGCTAAGATCCTTTTATTATACTACATCATAAGATTTTGCAATATGGACCGCATTAATTCGACGGGAGTGAAATGCTTAAAATATTCGATCAGGTACGAAAACAATGTAACAATCTTGTACCAGTTGGATTTTCGAGTAAGCAGCGATAGAATATTATGGACAGGGACAACTAAAAGAGAAAGAGAGGGACGGGAAGCCACTTTGATACGAAATAATGTCGAGGCTGATCATTTTGAGGGTCACTCTACTATACGGTATCAATGAAAACGTATAGCCAGCCATACTGTACGAAACCAAGTTAGCAGCAGCAGTTTGTAGCTAATTTGGATGCGAATAGTGGATAATATAGTGTACCGCTGTAGACATGTGATACGGTTGAAATAACTAGTAAAATAATCAGCCTCCACATCATTAGTATAGTGAATGACCGTTTTTTGTCCCTCTCTTTCTCTTTAGTAGTCCCTGTTTTCTGGATAACCTAATGCAAGGAATACTTCACTGCAAATACAGTATATGTAACAAAACGCTCTACACAAGCAGAAATTAGCAAATTATACTGTACTATGTTACTAATAAATAAGAATCTAATTGCTGATTGTAACTGAATGCAACGTTCTTGATAACAACCAAAACTATTTCAAAATTTTGTATATCTAGATTGACGTTTACAGCTCCTTTATCATACGTAACAGTCATTGAAAAAATTGAAACGATAGCGTCATACAGTATAGTGTACAGTAATAAGGCGTGATTGACTAGCAGCAAGGTCTCAACACGCAGAGCTGTACTATGCTAAAGTACCGTAAAAATTGTAACCGATAAAGCGATAGCTCATGATTTATGAATGAGTAAGAAATGTAGTGCTTTTCATTTGTTAACTGTAAATATATTCTATTGATCTAGAGTATTTAATCCAAGAAGACTCCGGTTTTAAGGATTAAAAATAAAAAAAATAGAGTTGTTGTTATTGCCAGAGTGAACGGCGGAGTTCGTAAGAACACTTTAGTTTAGATGATTGGAACATCTTTCCTACTTTTTGAGACCCTACCGTACTCGTTTTAATGAAGAGTATAGTCATTAAAAATCAACAAAACTTTATACTATTAGTTGAATCCGATGACATTGAACTAATAGAAACAATAAAGCCATAAGTTTACAGTACAGGTAGGGAACGTATATAAACGTTTAGCCCCAAAATATGATTAGGCTACTGTAAGCGAACGGTAGTTGAATTTGAACAGTGTTAAAAAATACTGCTGTACTGTGCAGTAACTGCCTCGAACCAACCAATAACCGTTCTCCGTAACATTAAAAAATAATGTTACATACAGTACTGTACACTGTAGAGTACAGTATCAGATCAATGGTACGGTACAGAAATACAGTACAGTACTGTACAGTACATACAGTACAGTACTGTATCTACTTACTACTGTACAATGCCGTCCAAAAGTACTGTACAGTAATACAATACCTAACAGTAAGACAAAGTGGATTTTTATTACAGTAACCGCGCCATTTACTGTCAAGTACAGTACTGTACGTGAGCGTACCGTACTGTACACAGTAGCGTTCTTTTACAGTCCTTGATATTTTTTTCTACTGTACTGTATGCAGTATTTGCACCACTGAATTCACACGATAAAAAGGTAAAAAAATTAAAATTAAAATATTCTGTACGTGTTGCGTCTGTACTCTGTAGTGTTGTCTACACAATTTTACTGTCTATTCTATTGTGCAAAGTGCAGCGTGCGGTCAACTTGGGTCTGCCTACTATCTAAGTACGTAGATCGATACCATAAACTTATACTGTACATTCAATCATGGTTCAGTACAATAGATGGCTCCGTACTGGACTGTACTGTAGAAGCCCATTAACCGATACGATTCAGTACAAGAAAGATTCACGGCACCGAGTCAACCCAACACTCGATGCTAAAAGCGTAAATGTAAAAAAACAAATTTTTACGCTTGTGATATTCAGAAAAGGGTTATAAAAGTTCATAACGGGAGTGCAATAATGGGATCAAGGGCAAAATTCACATGTGCTCACTAGTCTAATACTATACTGGTATCAATAAGATAAGAAATATGATTCTATCAGCAAAGAACATCAACGCGCATAACGTCAGATATTACAATGCCAGTGTATGTGTACAGAGTACAGTACGTATGTCATCCTCAACCGTTTTTGGTTGTCAAGTCTTTCCTCTACGTTTCGAAGTTCTTCGTTTTATTACGGGGAATGAACTTTTGAAAAAAATTCCTACTTTCCATAATGCAAAGACATTATTCTACATACTATACGATGTGTGATATATGGATTCATCGGGTGTACTAATGATACATTACAGAATATCATCAATGGGTAATACGGCAGTAAGCACGTCCGAACATCACAGGGTTAATTAATAAAAATAAAAATTACTGAAGCTAACATACAGTACACCAAAAACGAAGGTAGTCCAGTAGTCTTTATAGTTTATTTAAAACTACATTATGGTAGGATACAGACTTTGGACTACGCTATAGTACTGTCCATTAATGTAAAATACCAATTACAGACACGAGTAAAAAAAGGAAATTTTACATATGATCCAGGGAATTTACTGTACTATTCAACTATTTACAATGCGTAATCAAAGACGAATGCGGGCGATATGCTGTACAGTAGAATGTCTAATGTCTCATTAAATCAAACAGAACGTGCCCTGAACTTTTAATCGATAAATGCGTGGTCTTGTGCCCGTTGCCGTGAGCGGAGAAGAGACTCTTGTCCAAAATTTTAGTCAAAGAACGCTTGCTGCGCGTATTGCCCATACCCCATACGGTTTACCGTGGTGTTTAACACTGAGATATTTTTTAAGCTGTGTACATTGTACACCTTTTTTTTTACCCGGCCTTAGACACTATGTAGAGTACAGTAAGGTCCTCCAGCAGATCTCATAGTACTGTACTGTATAGTGTCGTGAACTACGTCAAAACGACTATTGTACAGTATCCAATTTGACTCCCTTTTTGGGACTATAGTTCGAATACATTCGCTCTGGAGCAACTTTGGTAAGTACACACGGCATGAACTATGAAATACATTGATGTCTTCTGATCAGTCAATGTACGCCATAGCGATAACAGTGGCAGTGCTAAATAGTACTGAAAAGCATCATTAAAGGTTCAAGTGCAAGTACCGTCTATAACATCTAGGCATAAGCATAACTTTACTTATTTCATAGCATTAATTCGAACGGTAATTCAGTTTCGGACATTACAGTAATTACTGATTATTATTACTATTCTACGAGTATAGCAAAATAGTGAAAGAGCAAACAAGGGAAAACACGAACGTGCAAAATTGTAGAAAGGAAATTGTTATTTAGACATAATGGTGAAGGCTTGAACTTACCTAAAAGTAACAGTTTTAATTCGCGTTTAGCATCTCGCTTGTGCTTTTTCAATTCCTTCTCTATCTCTCTATTAATTCGTCTCTGTTCTCTGGCCTCATCACTCAAGCAACAGGCCATTATTAAATTTTAGCAGATAATGTACTGTACTATAGAATCGTCAACGAAAGGAAAAGTACTAACGGATTAAAGATTCAAAGAAAACTACTATGTCACTCTACGATTCGTTCAAGTGGCTAGAGTAAAAAGAATCAGCCACGGTTTTCGCCAGTAAGAAGGAAATGAAGTTGAAATGTAGAAAAAATTCGATTGACGCGCTGAAAGCTGTCCAACAGAAACAACCGTACAATACCGTGAATAAGCCAAGTTAGTTTTTTCACGATTACGTACTCTCTTCCCTTTATTTTTGTGAAGATAGTTTCAGATCTATATCCAATTAATAACGTTCCCACAAATTAGTCGGATGATAGACGAAGGTATGATCGAGACTACTTAATTGCCTTCTTACAAACCGTAAATGAATTGTAACGCACCAGTCCACTATTTGCCGAATCAGGATAGCCTGGCAACAAATCTTGTATCAGTTTATGCGATTAGTGAATGACGACAACCAGTTCACCAGTACAGTACGATAGAGTCACAAAGGCGCACGGTAACAAGCGATGTTGGTCAAGCGGGCGTACAGTCAAGTGGAACAACCAACAAAATTACGGCGAAAATACAAGATGGACTAAATCTTTTCCTTATGGCAAGATCGTTGGAAAGGAATCAACAATCGATTTTGTGATTGCCACATGTAACAGTTTGCTTTAGCGCTACAGGAACGATCGGTTTTAGAGTTATCGACGCCGTAAAAAAAGCTCCCAATCCGATCGTACTAACTTGCTTCAGCTTCGGTACGGGTCAGTTCTGAGAATAAAGAACTTGTTCGTTGTCTGTCCTACTAACAAATGAAGGGCGTAGTCAGTTTTTTAGCGCACACATTTATCAAAGTCAAAATATGCGCAGTAACCAGTACCTCATAGAATTTACAGTAGGCTGGGTTGCTTGGCCAAATAATAACAATTTTCATATCATGGCCGTACAATACTGTACGCATCATAGAGTAACGTGAAATGTCCTGTTCACGGTACATTACTTATAGTACAGTATGGTACAGTACTGTACAGTTTCAGAAGCCGTAGACGCCTTAACCCTTAGTTACTGGTACGCATGTTCTCTGTTCATTACGATACCCATGGAGAAAACATCAAATTTCAAATGGAGAGTACAGTGCAGTACTGGTACCATACTGGTACTGCGTTACAGTACAGTACATTATTTTACCGTACCTACTACTGTACGTTATAGTGTACAGTACTGTACACTGTAGTGTACTTACAGTGTAAAGTACACTAAAGTACAGTACTACATACTGTGCTATTGTACTGTACTTTAGTTGGTGACGGACAGACGGGTGGTATCACGCTAACGGAATACAGTCCAATTTCGAACCTGCAAAAACGTTGATAAATGCTTCATAAAACTCTCATACTGTACATCCTGTAAGACGATTGTAGTTTAGTTTACTGTTGATTGGACAACTCCTTCTACTTACTACAGTGGAATCCAAGTCCAATTCGATCTGAATACTTGATAGTAAGATCAATTTGAATTAGTTCGAGCCAGCTAGCCTAGCTAACCACTGGATGACAGTGATTAAAGTTACTCGACTAAAGCTGAATACAGATGCCGTTACGGTACAGTACTGTATTCTACGCAACTGCCGTCATTTTAGGTACAGTACTGTACGGTACGGTCCATCTACATCATGCGTGCAGTACACGATTTGGTACGGTACCCGTAATAAAGCCTGACGATGAGCCTGATAAATTCGATACAAATACTGTAATGCTCGTACGTAATATATTCAATTATTACTTAAGGACCCGGAAAACACCAGCGATGTCGGATATGGCCGAAAGTAGGTACCATAGCTTGCAGTCTTGGAGGCAGTTTGCATGTTTTGAAACATTTAAAGAAATTTTAGACCTAAATGAAAAGGTAATAAGCTCATGTACTAGGCCTACTGTACTATGTGTACAGTATACATGCTCGTTGTTGTTGGTTTGTAAGAGTAATACTGTAATAAATAATTTTGTAGCAAAGCTTCCATGATATCATTAATTCGAATCAATGGTTGAAAGCTTGAAAAGTATAACTAAGAACAAGAGTTCAGTAGGCGTTGCGGTGCTGCACTTGCACAATCATGCAATGTCTATTTAATACAGTTTTTTCACAGTATGGCAATACTTCGTATAGCCTGATATATCAGCAAAGGCAATGCAGTATGGCAACATAGGTTAGCTTTGGATTTGTATATTGGATCAGTTACAAGTTGCAAAGGATGTTGCAAGTCTATACATTGATAACTGCAGTATGTACATGTATATATATATGTATGTATATATATATATATACCATGCCGCCACATATTCTGAAGGTTGATGTTATTTCGCACATTTGCCGTAATGCAGTATATATTGTAAGTATTATACGTCAAGTAGACAGTATTACTTATGAGGTACTTCGAAATTAGTTATTGACTGGACTTATTAGTAGTAGTCAAGTCGTACAAGTTAAACCTACACGTATAATTATGTTTCGCATGCTCCAAGGCCTAAACAGAGTGTTGGGTATTTGTCATGATAGAATAGATACAAAATTACTAGATTATCATGGAACCGGTGCTGACAACTGACAACTCTGAAATTCTTCTATAATTTAAACTTCTAAATTCTGCTGTTGTAAAACATATAGCATTAGTGTGTCGTCCAGCTACTTAAAAGTGAAAAATCAAACATGGTAGTACATAAAATCAATCAATACTCCAATGAAACGTGTCATCATGACAAGTTCGAATTCTGCATTTATAAACTTCACGTAAAACTTACGTGCAACCCCGGAGTATGATCTCCTGCATATTTGCAGGATGCTACTGTAGCAGTAGGTATGTAAGCAACATAACCACTGAATATTACAGGATTGATTCTGAATTACAGATATTCTAAATATGTTTATAATGCTTTCCTATATTACTGAATCCATTGATTGAATGGATTGATTTAATCCTATATTACTCAATACATTTGCAATCATAACGTCGAATTATTTTGTACGAGAAAAGTTCCCGTTAATTATGATGAAGTACAGCACTTACTGCGTGACTGATAACAAATAGTGAAATTCAATCAATGACTAAACATCAATTGCTATAAATCGTAATTTACTAGCTACGCTTATACCTGTATATCTTACGATACCTTCAGAGTAGATACATTGATCATTCTCAGCTCTCACAATGGATTTCATCACTATTTCTAAATTAATAGCGTAATTTACCATTGCATTTTATAGGTAGATGCTCCCGAAGAGCCATTTAAATCAAAGTACGAAGCTCTAGAGTTATTGTATCGATTACGTAAAGAAGTCGAGGACTTTTATGATGACAATCAAGAAGCTTATCCTGGTATTTAATCAGTAGATGAACTGTTATTTACCCAATTTAACTTTTGTGCAAATTTTCCAATATCTAAATTTATGATCACTTCTAAGACTGACTTATCGTTAAAAGTGTTATAGCAGTGTCTAACAGTGATTTGCAATTAATTTTTTTGGATATAACAGATGCAAAGCAAATTGCTGCTGTGTTGGATTATCATATAGGAGTTATTCACTTGATTACTGAAGATAGAAGCACAGGACAGAGGCATATTAAAGCTTGTTTAGAAGCATTGCGACCATATCGATTAGAACCAGATTTTTGTCTCGTTGTAATGAAAGCCAATTCTGAGGTAATAGTTTACAATTCAATCAAGTTTTAAAATCGATAAAGCAAGTACTTAGCCAAAAGATTTATAATTGTAATCTTACAGATGGGTATTTTATGGTGTGGTCGGTCAGATTTTGCTAAATCTCAGCAGTACTTAGAGGTAAGATATTGAAAGAATTTTCATGAATTTCTTTATTATGACAATATTTGGATCCTTATGGTACATCTGGTGCAATAGTAATAAAGATAAAAATTAGTAATGCAATTAAAGTAGCTTCTAGTAGAAAAGGTTATGTCGATGAATGTGGTTATTTATAATAAAGTTTCTATACTTACTTTGTCAGCAACATTACAAAGGTTATCTCTGCTGTTGTTAATTCTAGGAATGCGATAAATTATACTCAGACTATACTGCTGACGTCGGTAATAGTCCCTACGACGAGAAAGAGTAAGAGAGCTTTATCTTAATATGTTATGTGCAGTATGAAATAATATAATTCTATTCTATTGCCCATGCAGTGGCTTAAAATTTTGTCCTACAAGTAATAACAATGCAGTGTAACTATTACTCAATCAATCTTCTGCGTTGGTATTTTATAGTTTATTGTTACCGCCAGAATTAAGGGCTGATGACGTCAGCAGACACAAAAAATTTGAAAGCAGTTATACTCATGCACTTTATTATTTGGCTCAAGTTTACACTAAACAAGAGAATGATAACCTTGCAGCTGAATATTGTCATAAAACGCTGAGCCGCCAACTCGAAAGCAAAGATTTTGACTCTCTGGATTGGGCCATTAATTGCGCCACGTTATCTGACTATTATACCTCTAAGCGTAACTGGAATTTGGCTAGACATTGCCTAGGTAAACGCATAAAAACTAACATTGCTAATGTGTAGTAAACACGTATTACGAAATTTTAGTCAGTGATATAGCAAAATATTTCATTAAGACACCGATACACAATTCTTGTATCGTAGCATGTGCTTCAGCGGTAATCGGTGAAGACTGTAGAGTCCCTGACTCAGGGATGACTGAAGAGGAACTCAGAGAGGAAAGTCAAGCGGAACTGGATGAAAGAGAAAAAGTTTATAAAAAACGTGCTGAAGTAGCAAGACTTTGGGCTAAATATGCCTTAGAATTATTTACGGAATCACGGTAAGTATGAGTCATAGCCATGGCCAATAAGAAGTTATAAATTACCGCTAAATAGCTGCATTAAAAATTCGTTACTTTCTTGATAATATTATAACCGGCTTTATCGTCACCAGAAATGCAGTGGAAAATCATGGTGCTGAGAGTGTCCGTGAATTACATATCTCGGACAATCCTGAAGCATCGCGGTAATCAAATTTAGTATATTTCTTAATTTCGATCTTAATGTAATGAAATATTCGGATTATTTACAGTGACCGAAAGAATATTCTTTATTTTGATGGTTTGGAAACAACATCGTATGACGAATCCATTCCTGATCATTTAATTGCTGACTTTGATGAAGTAAATTTTATACTTCCATACTAACAAAAATGGATAAATAATCATAATCAGCAATTATATTTGTAGCATGCTGAACTTGATTTGATACGAAGATTACATAAATAAAAAATTTTTTAGGTAATAATGTATATAATATTTCTAATAGGCTCGAAAGGTTTTTTTGACTGGATTAAGGTGGTCAGAAAAGGCTAAGGACTTTTTTATTTTGGATGGACATACAAGCGATCATGTTGAACTTGTACAACTACAGAGTAGACTTTACTTTATTTTGGCTTTCTTTGAAAAAGACTTAGAAAGACAATGGTATATAAATTAATCTACAATCAAAGCTAGTCTACCTACTTCTGTTCTAGAGATATTGTGTTAAAATACCATCACGCACAGAACATTTAGAATCTATTTAACATTTGCATTGAATTTTAGTAAAATGCATAAACGCCGTGTAGACCTCCTGACCTCAATCGAAAAAGAGTTAAATCCACAGGTTATCGAACTATGATTGCTAGATATATCATACTTATTTTAAATTTAGTTCAGTATACTAATCTTGAACATTTCGTTGTTTAGTTCTTTTTAACGGTTTGCCAGCAGTTATGCTTCGAAATTGGCGAAACAACTAAGTATGTTGGAAAAATAAAATAGTGTTGTTATCGCAGTTAATGACGAATTTCTCGTTGTCTACTCAAATGCTTTAATTTTTGTAATGCTTTACTTACGATCAGGGTATGCTACTCCGTCAGAATGTATGTTATTGAATACTATGTTTAACTGATGTTTCGAAATTATATTTTAGCGAAATGGTAACATTAAAAATTGCTATAGGAAATAGAGAGGATGTTCCATCTGTTCATACTGTTAAAAAAATTAATAGCTTGTAAGTTCATTTTCAAAGACATATATATTTATAATAATTGGTTTGTGAATATTCTTATTCTAATACTTTGAATTTTTGGTTTCGTGATTTTACTAATGTTGTCACACGTGTAGGATTCAAAATAGCGTCGAACATTTTAATAAGTTTATCGGTGAGGATATAAGTTGCCATGCTAATATAATTTCCTATATTTATGTATATATATATTATTAAAATGTAAATTTCCTAAAATATATTTGTAAATGTTAATATCTATTATTTAAAAATAAGGTTCATTCGTTGATCGTCGGACAGGAAAATTACCAGAAACTATTCATGATGATTATTTAAGACCTATTTTATTAGCAAAATTCTATTTAGCTCGCCTGTGGAAGAAATATATCGCTAAAGATACAAAATCACAGATGGAATTCTTATCAAAAAGTTTGCAGTGTTTGGAGTATATAGTTCAGTACGCTGATGCACATTCCGATATGCCAAAAGTATTCGAGGTACAATACTAAAACTAGAATCTAGATGAGCGTCTAAGTGTATATAGAAAACTAAGCATTTTATTTTATCTTTCATCAATGGAAAGGACGAATTGGTTGTATCACGTGAAATGGCACATTTTCTACCTTATGAAATATCTAAACTTGCGGAGCAACTGCATTAGTTTCTTATTGTTGTCATAAATAACAACTGTATGTATTAAAATATTGTACGAGTTCGTTTCTTTAGAATCTATTTTGTCGCGCTTGTTCTGCGATAATTGATGATGTCTTTCTAAATAGGATACATTGTATTATATAGCTTAGAGTAGCTACATCAACCTTTAATTATATATATTATTGAGGTCATTTCTTATATTGAAGTATTTTAGCTTCATATATGCAGATGTTGCTCTACTATTTTTGTCTTAATTTTTAATGAATTAATTTCGTACTGTACACATTTTTATATACAGTATACAAGAGCAATTTAGTCTAATGCTGATTTAGATCTAATTAAATCATTGTAGTATCTGATACTAAGGTATGAAACTGTACTGTTAAATGTGTAGTTTACTATAACTTGAAGACTCATGTTCTTGCCAAATTCTGCACGAACCATACAGAATATCTTGGTAACTGAGTTATTTATAGGACGACAGTCAAGTGATTGACTTAGAATTATTCGGATTCTAAAAGGTGATTAGTTAATGATTCGTTAAATGAAAATTATTAAGTAAAATACTGTAGCTTGATACGGTTTTAATTTAGTGTTATATATATACATGAATTTTTAGTTGCTTTTAAAAAACTTATGATAGTTTTACTTTATAAAGGTGACATCGTTATTGGTATTTTTGTTGCACTTGTGAATGGTGCATTATGTAACAATAAATGTTCTGATGGCTATATGAGTTGATTAAAATTGCATGTAGTACATTTTTAGTGCCGAACTGCATATGAGATTATATGCATATACGGTAGGGTATTGAATCCTTCCTGGTTTAGTTGCAAAATCAGAATGAAGCTAAATTGCACTTATCATATACTTCTTACTGGTATGGTTACTTTATTGATAATTGTAGATTTATATCCCAGTTTTGATAGATATAAAAAGAATTTTATTAGCATAGTTATGCCAGAATAACACATTACTATCTATGTAATCGATAAATACGTAAAGCAAAATTGCTATAATAAAAGCGGTTCATTGTGGTTGTATACTTTGTCGAATTGGGCTTAATTCAATAGAGTATGATAAGCTATTGTGATGATAAACACTGTTGATGCGATAAAAGGTACATGATCATATGTACATAAGCTTTCAATTTGCATAGCCAATAATCTAGCTAATAAATGGAGCAATTAAATTTTATGTAACAATGCGATTATTACATTGGCTCTATAATTACGTATAATGTTTCTTTATATTCCTAGTACAAGTTAAAACTAGCTTAGGCTTATCAGTAGTAGCTAATAGATGGTATATGATATCGAAGGTGTCCTGAATTTGATGACGCTAAGATTTCTCTTTTAGTTTTTTAATTTCTTGATTTTTGAGTGCTAATTCTTTCTTAACATTTTCAAGTTCTTGCTGCAGCAGCTTATAGGCTATGATTAGCTATAAGTGAAGTTATAAAATATAGAAAATTTTAGTGCACACGGGTATACTGTTACGTTAGTAACGATCATACATTACATATAGCAGATTTAAACAGAATGTTGCCGTATTTGATATAAAACCAACTTGTTCTTTTGTCATATTTTCAAGGCCACGTTTTTTGGCTTCTTCTTCCAGTAAGGCATTATTTTTATTTACTGCCGACGCCATTTTAGTTATTGATTTTGCTCTACTACGGTACTCGGCTATAGCGTCTTCGGTTATTGACTTCAACACTGGAGGCTTACTAGCGCCTTCGAACCATTCCATAGCTTCCATTGATGGTATACCAGCATTAGTCAATGGATAGAGATCAGTTTGGATGCTATCATACTAGAGTCGAAAAGTATAATATTACCGAGGAGAAATAAAGTTAACTTAAATTTAGATACTTTAGACGCTAAAATATTATGATTTGATAAAGTGCATATTAAAGCGCTACCTTTCTTGGAGCAATCATGCTCACTGGTTCGAGATAACCTTGGGAATGTAATTTATAAAATCGAAAAATTTCACATTTGGGTACATCAAGGTATCGATTTGGTAAGCAAGTTAAGCCCTGGTGAGGCGATGGCGATTTAAATTGGTTTAAGAAATAGCAGTATGGCTTTTGATCAAACAGTTCATAAAAGCGGATATTTCCATCACCCTAAACCGAACGTAAATCATTGGTGAAAATTTGGTTATGACTTAATAGTGATAAATAACTGTTATATTTTGGAATGATTTCTATTACATTTAGATACGATTTAGGTTGGTCTAAACGAATAATAAGCCTAGCTTTATTAATTAGTACAACCTTTATAGGCAGAATATACCGATGCCACATACAGTAATTATTTCACTATTTGCTTGTTAATGTTGAGTTGAATAGTTTTACTTATATATTTATTTAATTATGTATTATTCGATGAAATAGTAAAGTTATATTACACTTACTTTTCCAGCTAGGTATAAAATATTTCTATCCTGATCATAGAATGGAAATAATATTCCGGTGCCACTATCAATGCCTTCTAATTTAATTGGGTCTTTCAGATTGTCCTATGGCATATTTAGATAATTTTATAGATTGATAAATATGATACATCAATTATTTCAAATTAAGTTTATAAGTATTGAAAATTTCGATGTATGGAAAGAGTAGATTAGGAGTAATACTTAAAAGAAATATATTCTAGACTGTGATCACATAGGAATTTTATAGAGCAGTAATTGACTAATTTACGTAGCAACATTGATGCGAAACTGCTAAAAATCAAATTTTTCAAGAAAAATGTAATTAGTGAGTCTGTCATTACTATGTTAAATATTGTTTGCGATGTAATTACTGGTACATGTGCATATTAATTTTAAAATTTCTCTACTTCAATAACGGTGCTATGATTTAGGATTATAATCAACATCAATACATGTAACAGCTTGACGTCACAGATGGAGCTAAATTCCATTTACGAGAAACTTCTACTAAATATATATATATATATGCAATTAGATGTGGCACCGTATACATGTAAGTAATATGCAAGACCATAGTGAAAAAACAGCTAAATCAAGATGATCAGCTACAACCCTTGAGCAAACGGTCAGCATTCGATTTTGTTTATCATAAATAAAGTAAAAAAAGTTTAATGATTACCGGATCCCAGACAGCAAATTGACGTTCACTGTGTTTAGAAAAGCCAGTAGTTATGATTTTATTAAATTTTCCAGCAAAGATGACGCGAGCACCTTTTAAACCGAAGTGACATATGCCTTCCTAGCAATATAATACCAACAAGTAAAAACGTAATATGATGTTAATTAAGTTAGCTAATCCTCAGAATAATGGCATTATTTATATCAATAGTAATACAATTTTGAACACTATAGAATTATTAGATCAAACAGCAGTTGTAACTATTTATTTGATGGGCCAAGATATTTATTAGGAAGAAAGGTAAAATAGTCAATATCTGATCTAAATGATAGAGTAGAGTGAATTCAAGCAACTTTCGATTAAATATGGGTTAAAGTAATAACAGTTATTTAAAATGTTAGCGGAAATAAAAAAGATTGTCGAAATAGAAAGTAAGGGTACTTTTCATTAGTTTTATTTAATTTTTTATACTTTCTGATAAGCAGTGAATTGGCTTTGAACAAGCTACACAACTTATTCCATAATTATAATGAAAATTTGGATAAGACACTAAAATAAACAGTAAACTCACGTTTTTAACTTCCGATGTCTTTGGATCAATCACTCTTAGTTTTTTATCCTTACTTGTGGATGCTAGCAAGCTGCCATCGTTGTTGAATGCAATACAAAAAATAGGTAGTTTATGGCAGTCGATTCGATTTAAGATAGAACCTTGGGCAACATTCCAAATTACTACGCTTAAATCATAGCTACTACTTGCAAGTACATTATTAGCGGTTGGATGCCAGACTACCATGTTGACACGGCGTGAATGACCATTTAGTATTATGACTGACTCGTCTAATTCCTCTACTCTTTCTTCTTCATCATCCTGCTTTTTAATCTTTAATGGTATGCCATCGTCCGGTATAAACCATATTCTGATGCTATGATCTTCGCTACATGATGCTATAATGTTTTCGTTGAATGGATTCCATGCAATATCTAAAACAGGTCCTCTGTGGCCAACAACTCGAGGGCATTTAATACCCACCCGACCTGTCTGTGTTATAAATAAATTTTCGATATGAAAGATTAAAATAAGGGTGTGATTAGAATACGGTAGATTAAGGAAAGTTATTTAGTTTACAGGGTCAGTAAAGTAAAAAGATTGATGATAGATAAGTACAGTAGATGGACTTTGTAATGAGTTAATCAATTAAGTCATTTAAAAATCGAAACAGTGCAAATAGAAATTAGTGTTGAACGTATTTGTACGTTAGAATGGACATTTCTTGAGTAGCTGTTATAACGTGACCTATACCTTGGAGAAATAACTTATTTTGGAATCATGGTGAGATAGAGTATGTTGTTATCATACGTTTTATTCTTTAGTGGATCTATATATGTATATCGCACTAATGCAATGGGATTTTTGATTTCATATATTACAATAATTCAATCCATCAATAATAGATTGATGGACGTATACACGCTGAGGAAATTTTGATACTGTTTTATTTTCACCCTATACATTATGCGTTTAGTTTAATATTGCATTTCAGTGCACTGTATTCTGTGCTAGTGAAAATCTCTAATGTACAGGATTTAAGTATGAGCTACTTTAGTCAAGAGAAATTAGTTGATTATTGCCTATTCTGAAATGGTAAATCATGCTTCGTAAACATACCTTCTCCTTTTGTAGGACGAGAAAAGAGCCTCCTCCACCACTACTTAATATTACAGCAATAAATTTACCGTTTACCGCACAATATGAGGAGTCGAAGGCATTCTTAGCGACATGGATACTATCATAGCACAAGTCTCTTCTATAAGGTTGGCCATAGACGTGGCGAAATTTACTATGTCTGATTGAAAACTGGCCCAACATATGAACTTTATAAGGAAAGAACTGATTGATTGTGGTTTAACTATTATTTTTTTTTAATATTGTATTTCCGTTCAGTGAGTTGAGTGCTATCGCGAGTAATAATTAGCACGTCGTAAGGTATCTTACTCAATCAAGGATAAAAATTGACTATATATAGCTTTTTCACTTATGTCCATAGCGTACAGTATATCCTAGCTTAAATGAGCTGAATATGATGGAGAATACAATAAGGTAAGCAGAGATTTGATATCCATAACATTCTTCGTATACAGTACTGTTCATCCACGTTATGCACAACATCTTTAATGAGATGCCGTGCTTATTAATTAAAACAATATCAAGTCTGAATAGGACATGATTATATTATTTCCATTGCTCTATGGAATGAACGCTGTTTTGTTTAATTTATGAGGGGGCATTTTGTGGAAAACAATTGCAAATTGTTATTGCAATTTCAATCGATGGTTGCCAATAAAGAGCCTTTGGGTATGATTGTTTTAGCTAAGTAATATCAAAGTTATGATAACTGGTGTAATTGAGCTATGTAATAATACTATTAGTATCCACGGTATGCTGTGTTATCATTGCTATAATTTGAACGTAACTAATTGGCCATGGATCAACTTAGTAATCGTTGTAGAGGTAATTAGTAAGGGTACAATGTCTGTCTGCTCTGCTACAGAAACTTGTACTTGGGTGGAAGGGGTAGAGAAAAAGGTTAGATTGATGTATTAGAAAGCTTTTCATAGATATTAAGGGCAATTTCATCTTTACCTAGATAGTAGGGTTCAATATCGTAGCTTAAAGTTATTGCAATGCATGTTTGGCAACAGCACAGCACGACTTACAGCCAGAAATATCTGAAAAAGGAGAGAAAAAAATTTCCTTTTTCGATGGGTCCCACCCTAATCCATTGTGGTAAGGGAAAGGGACGAACATACAGTACTGCAGTAGATGGAGCCATGGAGGTAAACATGTATCCATTATGCACCAGACTCTGAATATTATTGTATTATGCTAGGGTAGGACTATAGTTATTTCAGAATGTGGTTACACCACTTGATTAGATTATCTTTACCAGTCCAAATTGCCAAGCAACACAGTTGCTAATTACATGCTCGAGCGCTTGAACACCTTTACCCTCTAACTGCAGTTGCATGAATATATAAGTAGTGTCTTTTATCATCATGATCAGAGTCCATCAGCCCGGGATGTTTGATATGGCATGATATAGAGGTTCAGCTATGATAAGTTATGATCCTAGTTGTAGAATACTTGGCAAAAGGCATTTTGGAGCTATGGAGACGATTTTATGTCGTGTGAGCATTAACATAAGCCCTGCAATACAGGACTAGTACAAAGAATAGAGTGCTGCTGCACTCCGTGTTTTGTTAGCGTAGCACAACTGAAATACAACTTAGTAATCAATTCATTCATTTGCAGATTCTGTCCTACAGTATATCACTGTATCATCCATCTTTTGGAGATGATTTTGAAGCATTGCATTTATTTCACTACTTTTCCAGCACGACACCATCATATTCACTTCAGGTCAAGGAGTTGCTGTTGTATCAAAAGAGGCAAGAGAAACGTTGTTTTTTTTGAACGTTGACAATCCCTTACTGCTACTTTGTCAAGTACAGCACAGTGTCCATTCTCCACTCATACAATGGTGGTAGAAATTAAAAATTGTTTGAGTAGTTCAGTAATGTTCATCTTCTTTGCTGAAAAGTTTCATTTTGGTCAGCAGTCTCTGATCCATCCTGCCGTCTACCGTAGAGTAGAGTGGAGCCATTATGGTGGCGTGACAGGCAAAAGAATGAAGGCACTGCACGTCGATTGACTTGAGGTTGACGTGCAAACGGTTGACGTGAAACCAACGTCAACCCGCTATTTGGCTGGTCATTTGAACTATACAGTGTACAGTACTGTGCCTCTGTTCGCGTACAGTACACTGTACTGTGGTACGGTAACAGAGCGAACTCCATCGAGTACTGCACGTCGATTGACTTGAGGTTGACGTGCAAACGCTTGACGTGAAACCAACGTCAACCCGCTATTTGGCTGGTCATTTGAACTATACAGTGTACAGTACTGTGCCTCTGTTCGCGTACAGTACACTGTACTGTGGTACGGTAACAGAGCGAACTCCATCGAGTACTGCACGTCGATTGACTTGAGGTTGACGTGCAAACGCTTGACGTGAAAACAACGTCAACCCGCTATTTGAACTGATTTGACAGTACAGTGTACAGTACTGTGCCTCTGTTCGCGTACAGTACACTGTACTGTGGTGCGGTAACGGAGCGAACTCCATCGACTAGGGTGACGCGTCTGGTCGATCGTACCGCCCAATCAGGTCAGTTGAAGTCACCATCAGTAAGCGTACCCGTTCCAGTCTACCGGTACAGTAAATTGACCAGTAAAAATTGTCACCACGTTTTTTGTCAACATCACGTACGATCGTGGCACGTCTGGCAACAGCAGTGTAGGCTCGCTTTTGCAAGGCTGCTACCCAGCATACCATCACCATCGATCACTGTTGTACACTTACAGTAGAATATCATAAGTCGAGCATGATACAGTAGGGTAGGAACAGTATTGCGTAGAAAATGCAAGCAACATTACGTTACGTTACCGTATCGTTCCGGAACCAGACCACCACTACTGTACCGTGTACAGTCTGCATTCTACAATACTTTGTACGACAGTACTGTAGCATCAAGCACTGGAAATGACATACCATGGCACCAGCCTACCAATTCGTCCATACTGTACTCGGCTTTTCGGCAGTACTACTGCGTACAGTATAGCAGCAAGGGTTATGTTGTAGCGTCCATGGTAGAGTGTCGAGGGCAGCGTATGTAGCTTCCATCTCGATGTGGAACATTTTCAAAAGGCTGATTTGCCTGCAACACCTTGCACCTTTTTGCCCTCCTTGCTTCAAATTGACATCAAATCATGGAAAGATATCTCAGAACAAGTAAAAAATACACCCATGTAAGTTGCTAACACATCTTTATCAAGCTAAATCTGAAGGTGGATCTATCGTTCTTTTAGACAAGGTTGAGAATAGACGTTGTGTGTCCTGTTAGCCTAAGGGCACCATACTCGCTGAGACGATAGTACTACAAGCCAATGAGAGTGCATGCGACATCATAGTACTATTGCTAGTCTACTCTTCAATCAGTGGACATGGCGTATGTTGAAATTGCTTCTATTCTAGCTGATAGGCTTTCTAAATTCAGTCCAATTCGATAAAATAGTGCTTTACAATGATCGATACTGAGCTACTATCGGATAGGTTATATTCTATCCGATATGTCTTGAATAATCTTCATGTTCAACATTACATTCTATCACCAATATTGCGATAGGCGGATGCAGACGCATGAAAACGACCTCATTGATAGATAGGTTGATTCAATGTGCTTAATCCACATAGTTTGCTATGCTTGGATACAATTATTTTTTTCTTCATCAATGAGTGTATTTAATGCTCGTCGCTAAGCTGATTAGATACAATGCTACCTTTAGTGGTTTGATCCTCTTGCAAATCTTCATTTTACAATGAAAATTGATCCCCAATCGATTGTCAAAGGATGGGTCTACCGTCCACTTTGATAGTCATGCATGGCGAGCTTGATGGTAGGTCGCGCTAATTTTCAATCTTCTTTTTTAGTCAACGTGGACATCGTCGATATAATAATGTATTTGATTCATTTTGACGGTTTGTACCGCTATTGTTCTACTTACAAAGTGGATTCTAGTTGGACATGGAGATCAGATTAATCCCTTAATACCGTGTACAAGTATTCGAAAGTAAATACACGCTCATCATTTTCAAATTTTCGCTGTCAACGGTAATCAACGACTGTACTGTCCAAAGCAGCCAGTAATCATCCCATCATGTCATGCATAAATGAATGGCTGCTGTTCAACATCGATCGATACCTACACGTACGCGTATAGCTTACTCTTCATGGATAGATAGGATAGTGACAAAATGCCTTCCAACTGTCGATAGAACCATGTTGATCATTGGCCTATGGGTTGACCAAGATTCAGTTTAGGTTATGTGAAGGTAGTTCAAGGTATAGGCTTGCTACCCTTATTATTTTTACGATCATGCGGGATTCTTCTTCTATAAGAGTGGACAGGAAATAAATGCTAGCAATAGCGATGTAGGAATACATTTGACTTCGTTATCCTCGACACATGCTTGAAAATGCTATCAGGTCTAGTATACACGTAACATTGGTTTTATACCTGCATTATTCACTCATCAAGTGCTGCGATCTTTTTTAAAGAAACCACATTCATACCTTGACGTCTTTGCATATTATCGTCACTTGGAATAATCTGTCATTCGTATCGTGGATATACTATACTCAATTGTTTAGTTATGCTAATATTGATGCTAACATGGAACGATCTTGTGTACTAACCGTACATGATGATTTTAATACTACAGCCAAGGTGCAAGATAGTCTTCCAATAGGACATGTTCAAGTAGGCTTCATTTTTCCTAGACTAATCATAAACGACACACATTGATCTTATCGTAGCTATGATACTTTCTATAGCCAAAGATAGGACGATTAATGAATTATTGATTAACACGATCGGAAGAAGCTTACTAATTTTTTCAACTTGACCATACCGATATCTAATATTATTTTCATCATCATAAGAATATTATTACCTCAGTAGTTGAATTGTTTGAATAATTATACTCGTACATAGGTAGCAGCGATCGAAATAAAATGAACCCCTTCACAAGCTACCATAAAACGAGCATTTCCATACGTTATGACGCCAACTTTTTTATCTACAATTTCTAATCGATATTCTTACTTGATTTTATGCCAGCAAGAAGACACAGTATGATCGTATCATCCATCTTCCTTTTATTTTTATTTTTGAGGGGGGGGGAGGGGAAAGGGAGAAATAACAATTTTAAGATAAAAGATGATTAAATGCGAACAATGTTATCATAGCCCGCGATACAGTACCATGGATTAATTTTAATTTTTAAGTTATTTTATAATGTTTGCATGATGATAACCGGATTGATACCGTATTCCATCACACTGGTAATCTCGACTATGAAATCTAATGTACCGTTAATAGAGAAACGGCGTTAATTGCACTATTACTTGGATAGCAAGTTTTATCTTGATCGAACTTGCTTCAAGTTTGATTTCATGGCGGAAATAATTAATTTACCCTAGTACTGTACATATAGGAAGTAGTTGTTGTCTTTGTTAAATAAGCACTGCATTAATATTATAAAAACTTAGGAATTTATTTGACAATGAAGCCGAAAAACGAGCCAACAGTGTAGATAAATTAACGTTCAGAATATAGAGAGTAATGAATTGACTAGTACTTCATCGTGTGAACATTTGTAGAGGATGTATCCTATAATTTTTTTCTTAATTGTTGTCGTGCCACTGTAAACACGGGTGATCTATTTTTTAAGTTTATTACAGATTAGTCTCTCTAAAAAATTACTCTGTGTACAGATTTTATTTTATGCTTTTGGAAACTTCACTTATTACTATAGAACTATTTTTCATTTTAAAATTTTAAAGTGGCGAAATTTGCCTATCTTAAATTAATTTACATGTTAATCCTTTTTTTTCTAGTCATCCCTTGTTGAAGTCAAAGAAAATATTCATATAGTTATGGGGAATGAAGCAGCAGATTTAGATTCCATAGTTTGTTCAATAACGTATGCCTATTTTCTAGCTCAGGTAAGATACTAGAAAAAATAAATTGAATCATTGATGACAAAGTATAGCGAAACTACTGTTTATGGTACAAATAATATAGTGTTGATGGTCAACTATGAACAATAAGTAATACTGTTTATTTCCACTTTACAAACAATATAATGCTTTCGGCCAATCAATATTTCATCGCCTTACAATACATATACGTTAGTTAATTAAGAACGGATCTGTAATGTTATAGTCTTATTTTACATAACCAGAGTAAAGAATTTTTGAATTATAGTTGCTCATTATATGCAAGCGCATTTAGTCTGCATGTGTATTATGCAACACCCTATGCTTAACAGAAGTAGTGCATTAGATGGTATAAGACGTCGATAACTTTTATCCTCTCGTATTCTATATATTATTCATATATATCAGAGATATTTCATTTATAAATGTGAGATGAAGATTCTTACTGATATCCAATTATGTTTCTTGTGGCTGGATAAGCTATCACATTTAATCGACTACAGTAATAGCAACTTGCGTACATTATACTACATTTGCGTACGATTATATTCTTGCGATAATTATTGTAGTTAGGATGCAATAGCTACTATATGTTCTACTAAATAATATGAAGTATAATGTACCGTAATAGATGTAATCATGGGTATCTTCATATATTCGTTACAGAATGAACTACTACAATCGTTTATGTAATGATATTGAAGTAGCAGGATGAATTGATAATTAATCATTTGTACTATAGTATGTACTTAGACAGTATAAGAGGATTAAGAGCACTAAATTCGTATAAATTTATCGGGAAAATTTAGTTTAATATATTACTGGTCGGTTATCAGAATATTAGAGACTGGTAACTTTGATAAAGAAACGTAGTAATTGATACATTGCTAGAATTTTCATAAAGTATAATATCCGGTAACCCTTGAATGTCGTATACATTTATCATCAATAGATGTATAATGTTTGTTGGTATCAGTTACGATGAATGTTACTATAGTGCAGCATGAATCTTAAATAATTATGGTTTGAGTCGGTAGACTACTTGAATGGGCTATTAATATTACCAGATATGAGCATAGCAAGTGATCTAAAGTTAGATATAGGGTTGGTAATTTTGCAAAATGTAAAAAAAAATCTAGTACGGATGATGCTAATTTTCATAAATTCGGAATTTCCCATAATCCAGATTTTTCTTGACATAATTATGTAATCGTTACTACGGTATAATGGTGTCATATATTTGAGCTGTTGCAGTTAGCAACCACATGGTATCACATGCATATGGCATAAGAAGAAATTTTTATCCCAGCAAATTAAAAGTTAGTCACAAATTTAAAAAAATGTCTACATTTTTGTATATTACCATTATAGAGGAGCTTAACAGAAAGTAACGTGCGGGTCATACCAGTTATTGACATCCCTAGGAAAGATTTTCAATTACGAGCGGAGATCTCATATCTATTCAAGTCAATTAAATTGAAAGAGAATCTGTTAACATTTGCTGATGAAATCGATCTCCAAGCCCTTTATGACGCTAATAAACTTAGCTTAACAATTGTCGATCACAATCGCTTATCCAATAAACATGAACAATTAGCAGATTGTATTACAGATATAGTTGACCATCACTTGGATGAAGATCAATTTCCAGAATGTGATATTATTCTTGAACCGGTGGGTTCTTGCGCAACGCTTATTGCTGAACAGCTGATGGATGGTGATTGTTCTCTAATTGATAATGAGGTAACAGAAGTATAACAACTTACGAAATTAAAATTAACGCAAATGCTACGAAAATGTTAAATAATATCTTCGTCGTTTAATACTTCATTTCGAGTTAAACATGTACGAAATTTTACTTTTTAGGTTGGTTTACTCCTATTATCGGCGATAATTGTCGATACCGCAAATCTAGATGTGAATTTTGCTCGGACTACTGAGAAAGATATAGAAATTGCCAATAAATTAGAAACCTATGTCGACTTTGATGAATTACCCTTTAGTAGATTGGAACTATATGACAAGATGAAGGAAGCTAAATTTAACGTTAGCCATCTTAGTACGTATGATTTATTAAGGAAAGATTATAAATCCATAGCTGCCTTGGACCAATCTGTGGGTATCAGTTCCGTTACTATCCCAATGGAAGAATTTATTGAACGTAATCAGTTCGTTAACGATGTGTCGGCATTCGGCGATGAAAAGAATTTAGCTGGCTTTGTCATTATGTCCTTCTACTTCGAATCTGACATTGCTAAACGTCAATTACTGGTCTATGAGAAAGCATGTAATGATAATGGGACAAAAATTGGCCTTTTCCTATCTCGTGCTCCAACTTTGAAAATTGAAGCAGTTGATTGTCCTCATCCGTGTATGCAAATATTCAAACAGCTTAACGTTAAAGATTCGCGAAAAGTCATTATGCCCTTAGTGAAGGAATTTTTAAATACAGGGTTAGTATTTAAATAATCATTGTTGTCTAATTATGACAAATTATAAAATACACTTTTATTCTTTGACGATTGTAATTTATTTAGTAATGTTAGTTAGCGAAAGGTAGCTAATTTATATGTTTGTTAAATGCCGTAAGGTTACATGGAATCACTTATTTTACATTTGATAACTATATATATATATATATGACTTAGATATCATTTTCAATCTCTAATCGTGATGTTATTACTCTCGCTAATGTATACTATAGCTTGAAATCGCTAGAGAATGAAACCAAGACGGAAAACATGAATAGTGAAATCTGTACAAGTGATGGTAAATTTTTAATTTATTTTTTTAGTATGGATGGTCGCACATTCGCATATCGGGCAATTGTCTATCGCGTATAAGTTACTCATAGTTTGTAATGTAGCACTACTCTTTTTAATTCTGCTTTAGCTGCACTTATTGCTGATATCACGCCGCACGCTGAGCCTATAAATGTTTCAACTGCTAATTCTAATAGTGATGCTTTTAGTGTTGCCAGTAATGCTGACAGCACCGATAAAATTGCACCTGATCCACATGATAGCATAGAGGAAGTAGATAACGAAGATATTATTGTTAATAATAATGATGATGAATCACAAAATTCTGGTAGCTACACTGTGAATCAGGTGAACAACGAATGCGTAGACCTTGCGTCGCCCGAATTGGAAACGACTACAGAAGAATCTGTAAAATTGTTAAAAGTTTCTAAACTAAACTTGGAATCAGAAAGTTCGCCGACTTCGGCAACTATTATCGATGAAAATCAAGCCGAGGGTACCTTAGAGATCTCTGATAATAGCGACAGTGAAGTGACTGCATCATATGATGTGAATGAACCACTGGAAAACTTAAATTATCAACAAGAAAATACATTGAACAAAAAAATATTATCTTACAGGTCATTAGGGGAAACTGACACGAAGAATGTTGCTTCTCATGAGTTAAAAGTAGTGGACACGTCGGAAAATAGTCAGTCAACTCCTTTATCTCCTATTGATGAAGAATCACCTTCATACAATGTCACAACTACCGTTTCCTTTCCTGAAACTTCTAACGACGTTTGCGAATCATCCTCACATAACGCAGATAATAGCATAGCAAACATATATAAACCAAAGGCTATTGACGTATCTGCTCCTGAAGATATACCGCAGACTGATGCCATTTATTTACCTGAACTTTCACCTATTCCTGAGGAATCTCCGAGACGAGAGGGAATGTTTAATTTAGACAAGACAAATCAAGGCCAAAATATTGCAGATCGAACAACTGTATCTAGTCTCGCGGAGGATGAATCTAATGTACAGTTTTGCACAGCTATTGGAGATTCGGTCGCGGATAATGAAACTTCATATATTAATGATGAGCAATCAAATAGCAAATCTTACGATCAGAACTCTTTTACTGGAAATCAAAGCATGCTCCAATCCACTGTCGTTATGGCTGATAGTAGCATAATGGATAAAGATGAAGGATTACAAACTACGAATTTATCAGTATCCAATTACGAAACATGCATTCAAGATAGTAAAGATCAATCTACAGCTTTTATGAATAATATCGTCGAAAAAACGCTTGATACACCCCAAGAAGAACCTGAAAACCCAAGCGTTAATCATGATGTAAATGCAACGATCATTGCAGCATCTAATTCTGAAATCGCTGTAGAATCATGTTTGAATGATTCCTTATTAGATGCTACATTAGTTGCAAATCAAGATGGTATTGAAGTTGAATCGAATCATGAGGAATCCGTAACTGAAAATGTTGACAATGAGATTAATTCTACAATTATTATCGCAGCGTCTAGTCCTACAAATATTCCACAATCGTCTACAAATGATAGTACTATAGATGCGACATCAGTTTCTAATCAGAGTGAGCCAGAATGCGATCACACTAGTCAGAGTATAGTAGAAGACGTAAATACTATTGAGTTAGATAATAGTAGTAACATAGAAATAGCTGGTAAAGTAGAACACGAATCTGATAGTTTAAAACAAAGAGAAATTTTAACTGATAGTCAAGATAATAGAATTAAAGATGATGCTCCATTAGATAAACAATGCAACCTGGACCATGATACTGAAAAAGTTGACAATATGACTACAACTGCTGAGCCTGTTGCTTGCAGAATAACAGCTTGTGCTATAACTGATGCGCTTAGCGATTCTAGATTAATTCAGATAAACTCTGGTAATAGCAATACCGCTACGGAAAACGATAAATACGCCTATAAGCCTGTGGATAATAAAATAAGCACGCTTGATTCCAAAGATACTAATTTATCATCGGGGGAAGTTGAAGTTACAGGTAGTGAAAATATCGAAAGTGAACTAACCGATACTAAAGAGCAAGATAACACAGAGGCAGTTGCTGGCAACAGTCAAAATAATCAATCTCCTGTAGCTCGGCCATCTTCATTTAATAGAGAAGGTAAACGTAAATCAGTATTGAAAGTCCCAGCGACGCTTTCTACATCTTTAACTTCGCCAGCAGCAACTGCCGATGATAGCACTGCTAGTATACCACCCTCAACCGAAAGCATACCGGAAAATACCAAACAGGAAAGCACAAGTGGAGCAACTGAAGATGATACTCTGCCTAAATCGAAGTCGCAGCCAAGGAAACTAAAAGTGCCACGATCTATTAGGTATATCCGCTACTGTATCTTATTTATCAGGATTATAATTTATTTTACCTCTTTTTTGTGTGTGTAAATACCTTTATTGTAGATTTGCTAACGACATTTCGACGGCTAATGTGTTATTGTTTCGTGTAAAATGTATGGTAGCAATATTGACCCAGATGCTATTGAAGAATATACAGCAGAGGAAGAACTATCAGATACTCGTACATGGCGCTTAGTTAATATTGGAGGAGAATCAAAGGAACTTGATCTTAGAATCGTGGAAGCCTACAGAAAGGTGGTCAGCCACGGAGGTTAGTTGCATCACGAAAAAACGATATTATTTGGTAATAACATAGTGATGCAGTCTTATAAATTCCTAAATGAGGATAGTTTTATTAATTGCTTACTTATCAAATTTCAGGCTATACGCACGACGGTAGCGCTCTAATTGTATTTTCGGGTTGTTACATGCCTAAGAAATCAGAACCTAATTACAGCTATATCCTGGACCATTTATTTTTGTATGTGGTTACGTACGCGTATATACTTTACGTTTAGCTTTGAAGTTAATTTTCTATTGATTTTATTTACATCGCATTTCGGATTTCTCGTAATTTTAGATATGTCATGAGTACAGTGGAAACCCTGGTTGTACAACAATATCGAATAATATTTTTCAATGGAGGAATGTCTAAAGATTCATTCCCTAGCTTTAAGTGGCTTAAAAAGTGTTACAAAACTATAGACAGAAGGTTAGTCAAAATATGCTTTTAACAGTTAGATCGTACTTGTTTATGGACATAGATCGTGTCATTGTACTTCAACATCGATTCTGGACTATAAAATGCGACAACACATGATATTCCACTATTGTAATGTTAGATTGCGAAAGAATTTACAAGGCTTATATATACTTCGCCCATCGTTTAAACTGAAAACAGTCGTTAGGCTTACAAAGCTCTTTATTAGGTTAGTATTTCTTAACAATGTTATCCGTAGATCTGCATTACTTTCTGAGCTAATAGTTTCAAGAAATCATCGCCAGTGATCGCACAATTTTTATGCACATTATTCTATATTTGATATTATTGAAATGACGGATTGATGTTCTCCTGTTTATTTGTTTAGCCCTAAATTTGGCAGGAAGATCAAATTTGTGTCCAGCTTAGAGGAATTAAAGAAATTAGTATCTTTGGATCAAGTTTCAGTACCAGATGTAGAGATTAATTTAGGCTAAGAGTCATAATAAATGTATTAATAAACTTCTTACAGTAACACCAGAACCTCTCTATTGCAAATACTTTTTATACTTAATTTACATGAGTGTGAGACGTCTATTTCTTGCTGACTGCTCGTAAAATGATTATATTGATGTTTATCTTCATTAGTTAGATTATAAATTAATTAATATGATGTCAATTCGATTTGTACATTCTGCAATTCAACGGAATACTATAGCTGTAGTGCAATTTTCTGCAGTACTCAATGAATTTATTTTAATGCATTATTACGATTAGTATAATGTGTATCAATTTAGTATAACTTGACATGCCGTCTACAATTGCGAACAAATAGTTTTAAAAAAAATAACGTATAGCTTATAAGATCTTTGCACATCAGTTCTATTTGATGTATGCATTAACAAGATTAACTTTATTGCTCTATAGCTGTTCATAAAATACCAATATTACATAAAAAGTTTAAGTTAATATTATTCTGCTTTAGGATAAATGGCGATCGTAAGGCCAATGAGTATAAAATGCAACAAAAAGCACTCTGTATGGTGCTCATGTATATTAGAATTTTATATTATTTGAGTATTAACAGGATATTATAATTTTGTAATAATAATTTAGCCCTTGATTGCTTACAGTTACGATGATAAAATATAAATATCTGATATTTTGTGAAATTGTAGTTATTTTGCAGATTACCGATTTCCATCGTTAAGGAATCGTACATAGAGTATTATTTTAACCAGTTATTATTGTCATGAATTAAGAGTATACTATTATAAATAAAGGTGATAGTTCTATACTGTGATACCACTCCTTTTTAACCTGATGTTTAAATAAGTACTGTACATATATTAAATAAACCATTTGAGCTTGATCTAAAATATTGACTTGAGATAAGCATTATTACCAAACATTATCGCAAAAGAACACTCCAGCTACATGGATCATGAATTTTGATCCGAGTATTATTGTAGAATGGTTAAAAAGCTAACAATTACTAAGTGATAGAGTGGTATAGTAAAGTAACACTCTATAGTTGATGTATAATTTATCAAGCCAAGTATGATATCATTTTCAAACTACCGCCGAGTTTAGAAAGTAGTATTACTATTATTATCTTTATTTACTGTTAGTAGCTCTTGCATGGTGTTAAACTGTTGAGTTAATTTATCAAGTCTACTTTCTAATTGAATAATTTTCTTCACCGCGTGATGAATTTGGATATCTTTGTAGGAAATCTTATCTTTTCCTTGTGGAGCTATTAAATTAAAAGTAAATTTTAGGAATGGGTATATAACGAAGAAATTGTTGTAAAATTTACGATCTATTTAAGGTAAGTTCATTATTTAAATAAAGAAATGACATATCGCAGTGTTAAGGTAAATGAGTGTGGCGATATGTATTATTTTCTATGGTAAATATTTGTGGAGATATTTGCTATCTTTTATAATAAAATGATTCAGGCCTTCAATATGATTGTCTAAATAACATACTTGAAATTTCTAATGCTGGCATCTCGGCATCTTTTGTAGCTAATTCATCAAGACCATTATGATTTTGACTCAAATCTTTAAATTTCATTAACTGGAATGTCTTACGGACAAGTGATAATCGCTTTTCCAGTTTCGATTCTTCGCTTTCTAGGATATCTTTTAATTCATTATCAGAATCAACGTCGCCTAAAAGGTCTTCATCAGAATCTGAATTATAGTTTAATTCCGGCAGTTGTTTGTGGTGCTGCAACATATCTACATTAATATAGCGTAAATGAAATTGCTCAGTAGAATAATTTTATTATTCTATAATAAATTATAAAGGAATAATCTATCCTAAATTGGCAGGTATTTATAAAAGAGAAGTTTAGATGGCAATAACGTAAACGTAGAGCAGATCTGATCAGTTAAAATCAATGCTATTTCGCTAAGTTAACATTCCTCAATATCACAACACTACATTTTTTTGCAAATAAGCTTTGAGATGTGCTGTTAACTTTATATTCAGATATAAAATTGCCGAAAGAAAGTTGATCAATTGTATAGTAGGATGAATGCGACGATCTAATTGTATCAATCCTTACCATATCGAGAATCTACCTCTTGTAATAGGAGCGAATGAGTAATTCGCGAACTAAACTCATACGGTAACTATATTTATAAGATTGCAAGCAGTAGTTCATGTAGTCTATATGTGCATGTACGTGTAAGTGTTAACTACCGTATCGCACTTTGATATCAAAGAATAAGAGCTCTAATTGAAGGTTCAATATTTTAATTGTACTTTTAGTTATCCATGTCGTTATGAGGATCTACTCTGTAATAGATACCCAATAGATAATTTAGCGAAAAAATCTATACACAGGAATTTTACTAGTAAAAGTTGAAATGGTAATTAAAGTAATGATCAAGTATTTATACGCATTAGCTACCGTTATTTAATATAAAGTTTACGAAAAGAATCTGAGATCAAACCGACTGTTTAGCATATTACTCATACTGTAAGTTAACCTTGTGGATCTAAGGATCTATCATAAATTCTTTAATCCAGGGTTAATAAGTAATCTGGTGAACGTTAGATCTATGCTAAGCATACGTGTATGATTTCAAAGATTACAGTAAATGTATAGAAAGAGAATCGAATAGACAGTGATGCAGTTATTTGGAAACTGAATATCTTAATTTTTTTACCGATTTGATTGTCAACCGATTCGCTATGGAGAGAGGAAGAAGGCGATAGTCCGTTAAATCGATTTCCTTCATCTTTGTTTGGAGATACGATGGGTAATTGAGTATTTAAATCGCCCATTCGAGGATGGCGTTGGTCAAGTGTACTTTGATCGACTTTTTGTAGCTTTACTTCAGCTTTATGGCCATAATGCTTGTCGAATATATTGAAAGTTTTGACCGATTCATCGACAGCTCTGTTGTAATATCGTATTGCAATTTGTAAATCTTTTTTAACTCCTAAGCCATTTTCGTACATTATGGCCAAATGATAGAGATGGCCAGGTAGAGGGGCTTTAACAATAGCATCGTTATAATATTGCAGAGCAGCAGTAAAATATTTATTTGCTGTAACACGATTTTTCAACGGTGAATCATTAACCAAGTTATTCCAGTAAATTTTACCTAAACGATAATGAGCATAAGCTGCAGCATGTTCACCTTCCGTTGAAGTGGCTTGGTAGAGCTGGATGGCCATTTCTAACGTTGCATCAGGTAATTTTTTCTTCTCCAATAATTTAGCTAATTTATTGACCGATTCATGGTACTTATATTGAGCTGCTTCAGCGTAATAAGCAGCAGCAAGTTTATAATTCGTCTCAGTACCTAATCCATGCTCGTGCATATAAGCAATTTCATGCAATGCCCAATGATTACTTTTACGATTGCAGAAATCAACAGCAACAGCTGCTTCTTCAAAATATTGCAAAGCAACTGTATAACTTTGTTTCATACCAGCAATCCCATGTAGGAAGATATAGCCTAAATTGAGTAATGTGGATGCAAAGCTATACCTTGACGATTGTAAATAATAATAGCAAGCTCTAGCTGATTCCATTTCTTGACCAGCTTCAATAGTACTGAGTAATAATTCAGCGACAATAAATTGCGAAAGTGCATGACCATTTTTACTGGCTTTTTTATAATAGTGTAAAGCAGTGGATTTATTCGCCACTACACCATGGCCATCATGATACATACAAGCAATGTTATAATAACTGGATGCACTGCCTAATCGACCTGCTGTCTTATAATATTGTAGAGCATGTTGATAATCATCTTCCATGCGATCTAATTTAAAATGGGCGGCTAAATAACCTAATTGGTTATAAATTTCAGCCAGTGAACGCCGTTGTACTTCATCACTTTTGACATGGTAAGTGCTATCGCATATAATATCCATGTAAGTATTGCGTATTTCGTTGACAATATTATACCACATGGTTGAATTATTATACAGTTGCCATAATTCGCGTGCCGCATTGGAATATAATTCACCACGAGCAGCCGATTTAATGTACATAGAAGCTTTTAATCGAATTAGTTCGATACTATCAGTAGCTAAGACTCCACTTCGTTCACTTTCTTCATCTTCTTCTTCACCATCACGAATTTTACAAAATTCAGCTAAGATATATTGAGCCGTAGGATGATTATAATGGGCTGCAATTTGGTAATGGTAGAAAGCTTTTTCAAGATTTTGTGGAATTGATCCTAAGCCACGATGGTAGATGTATCCCAGTTGAAAGTGTGAATTTGGATCATCCGTTGTATTGGCTTGTAACTGATGATATTTGAATGTTTTATTATATAAGTGCTCCATGATATTATTGAGAGAATATTTCTCGATGACATGCTTTGCTGTTAATGAATTTCCCATAGTGATGATTGTATTAAGTGGAGATGTTAAACTTGAGACAAATGTAGAAAAGGTTTTTACGTTTCTTCTTTTTATCTTCTTTAGCTTCTACGGCTCCTTCTTCTCTAGTTTCTATAACTTCTTCTTCTTCTTCTTTCGTTAGTATTTCTTTCAAGCTAATAGCGTTCAGGAAGGAGAATAATTTTCTTAGACTAAGTAATAAATTCCCCTTTAAAAAAAAATGGACCCAACCTATTTACGGTAAGAATGATTAATAGCGATGGACAAGATTGTTTAGGCCAACGGAGGATTGATAACCATGGGATTTGTATTAAAATTAAGGAGAGAATTAATCCTTATCCTATTTCTCCCTTTTCTTTTCCTTTATGTAATACGCAGCCAATGGAAGAAATCAGGTGGGTGTCGTTAATGTCTAGAGGATATCGTCTTTGTTCATCATCCTTTAGCTTATAATTTATGCACTGTGTGACTTTTATTCTATTCTATTGCATTGACAAACCAAATTAAATTATCAATAGGTGCAATCGATTCAATATAACAGGCATTTCATTAGCGAGCACTAGACTGATTAGACCTAATGCATGATTGATGTCTAAAAATGATGTAAATATAATGAATAAATTGACAATGCAAAGCCTATTGACAGTTTGCCTAGATTGTTACTATGAATAAATGATTAGCTTGTTAATGGATTTAAGGTAATTTTAATATGGCTAAGGTATATTGTTACAACATGGTATTCAACTAGTGTTTATTCCGGTCGATCAGTTGGGAAAACTTGCGACTAGAATTAGTCGATCTCTTGATTATTTCAAAATAGTCGATGCAAGATAGAGTTATCCTCTATGCACGATTTGATCGTTGTGGATTTTGTTCTCTTATTAGAATAGAGATGAATTAACTTTACTAGCAGGTTTATATGAATAAATAATTAGACCAACTATGGATTCAAGGTAATTTCAATATGTCTATCATCGATAATTGCTGCAATGTGGAATTTAACGAGTGTTATTGAACTGATTAGCTTTCCTTCATCCTATTTATTACATAACATAAGTGAATCTATTAATTAGTTCAAACCTTCGACTAGGAATAACATGGGCATAGGTCTCCATTATTCAAAGATTATATATGCAATTAGATCTGTATTTTTTATTCTTATTTGCTATTATTTTACTCAATGGTCTTCAATTAACTTTACTAATAGGCCTAAATGATCAGTTTGTCCATAGTATTAAGATGATTTTACAATACATTTGGTATAGTTTTACAAGATGGGATTCAAATCGTGTTATTGGATTAATTTATTTTCCTTCCGTCAGTTTAATAAGGATTAAATTGAGTTGATTCGTCTGTAAACTAGCCAGCTAGTACGGATATTAGCCTATGCCTTGATTATTCAATGGTTGTAAACTCAAGAAGAGCTGTATTGCTTGAAAGACTGGATTCTTATTTTAGTTTTGTTCTACTTTATGCCATTGAAATCGACTGTACTGCGAGATTAAGATGAATCAATCACTCTATCGATTTAAGGAGATATTAATCTGTCTATGGTATATAGTAACAAATTGATATTCAATGTGTGTTACTGGATTCCCCTTAATCCAGTTTAATAACGACGAAAGTCAATCCCTTAATCAGAAAAAATTAGCGACTAGGTTTGATCGCTGTCTAAGTCTTGATTGTCCAAGAATGGTGCATGGAAGTAGAACTGTACTGTTTTAATGATTTTATTCTTATTTGTTTCTCTCCCTCCCTCTACATGACCTCAGATTAAATCTTCTATTTTATTTTTCAATGGATAGAAAAATGAATTATTCATGACAGTAATTAGTGGCTATACTAAATTCCCTTGAATGGATAATAGAGCAGAACAATATCCATAACACTGGTATCTACGCTTTCCATCTATTTCTATGAAGAGAATTATAGGTCAAAGGGAAGAAACCAGGATTGAGTTTCATCGATTCATCGCTAATAGCTGTAGTTAACAATGATTCTAAGAACTAATATGAAAATGATCACTTTAAAGTAAATTATTTTATGAATATCGTACAGGAAGAAAACATTTGAAGGAATAGAACGAATTAAAGAGTTAAGAAAAGAGTAAATTACTGCAATATTCAGATTCAATGGTTGTATAAAGTATTTCTATTCTACAGTGAGCTAAAGTAAGAATAATATGTAGTGATTAAGGTTGATTTCAATCATTCTACTTTAGATTTAAAATGTAGAATAATTAGCGATCGAATTAAAGAAGAAATAAATTGATGGCTATCATCCATGGAACTGATGAATTCCGGTCGTTTTTTGCCTTTCATTATTTAATATAATATTCGAGGGCTTGGTCTAAGATACTTTGTGGGTATAAATCTTTTTCCCTAGATTTAAAATGTCGAGTAATTAATGATAGATTTATTAGAGGAGTAAATCAACGGCTATCATCCATAGACAGGATGAATTCTGATCATTTTTAATTTTATCGTCAAATATAATATTCTAGGGCTTAGTTTAAAATGTTTTCTGTATTTCAATCTTTTACCTTCGATTTAAAATATAGAGTAATTAGCGATCGATTTAATGAAAGAATAAATTAATAGCTAACATTCATAGATAGGATACATTCTGATCATTTTTGCATTTCATTGTCTAACATAATGATCGAGGGCTTGGTCTAAAATATTTTCTGGTTGATCTTGCTATGGAAAGGCAATAATAAGAACGACCAGATAATATAATAAAATTGAAATAATTTTTGACCTAATTGATAGTTCAAACAGTTTGATAAGAGTTAACAGCTGGCAAAGCAATTACTATCCCCAGTAGGTAATATGAAGTGAAATTACTCTTGTCTTATGGGTAATTTGAAATAGTTCACCAAGGCAATCTAAAAGCCATGGCAGAACAAGAATAATTGCTAGTAGACGCCATCTATTGACATATATTTTTTTTGTTTCCGTTGTAGTCTGAAATAGTTGGCGACATAATGTATATATATATATATTTTATTTGATCAATCCACATGGGAATATATAGACCAACAATGAGCAAAAGAATGTTCCATTGATTCGCTGATTAGAAAGGTTACGTTGCCTTGGAGAGCTTTTACTGCTAAGAATTAGGGTCATGCAATTTTTACGTGGATTGTACGAGATGAAAGGATGCAGTATTTGTTTAGACACAATTACCAATAGCTACATGGCGTGCTCTCGCTACATTGCATCAATATTTTCCTGTAAAGTTGAGGTTATTCATGTTCTAAGCACAATATGAAATTTACTTAGAATTGAATTGTACTGTAAAGTAGAATGAAAAGCAAATTTACTGGTTGATTGTTGATATCGGTTGATACTTTACTATTTTGGTAGAACCCCAAAAATATAGCCATAAACCTAAATTAGGATTAATCTGCATATAAAAACAAACAGTTTTGATATTTCCGGATACTATATGCCAGCTTCAATCCACATCAAAAGCGTTATATATCATTCATTTAGCAATACATTTACCTTATCAACTATAAGGTTAACGGATTAATTAATTATTAAAATCGACGATTACTTTAGTGTTAATATATTATTCATTTAGTAATATGCATACCCTATCAACTATCAACTATGAGGTTAACAGATTAATTATTACAATCTACGATTACAGTACTTTACTATTGTGGTAGAACTCCAATTCATGGGGTAAATGGAGACTAAGCTGCATATGATAGCGATCTTTCTTATATAAACTATCTCAAATATGCATCAAACAAATCGCTTAATATGAGAAATTTTTTAGGGCGGCTTAGTAGTAATACTGTATATGAAGGATTACAGATAGGAACGCGGATTGATTAATTAATAAAATATAGGATTATTTCATTAACATTATAAAATTATAATGATGTCAGTGGAATGAGAGAGTTAGAATGTATTTTAAATAGCTTGGTATTTTTCTTCATAAGAGTTTAATATTTTCTTCATAAGGTATTCCAATGTTAGGCAATTACAACGGGGCAAAGTACTATCAGTTATACTTTTCAATAATAGATTAGATTAAGAAAATGAGAAAGTCTTTTTCTCGTTAATCGATAACATAAAATAGCAATGTAGAATTCCAAACGATTTCATTTTTGTTCTGAAGTAATCGTTAATTATATCGTAGCCTAGAGGTGGGAGTGATTGAATATTTTTCTTGATAAGGTATCCAACCTAAAGCCATTGGCAACATGCTTAATTACCTATCCTAAAATGTTTAGTTTCTAATGATAACGTAGAAAGAAGAAATCGAGACAGTAATTTTCCTACATTCAAAGATAAGTTAAAAATAGGAAAAGATTTTTTATTTGGCTCTGTAGCTACTGCCAGTGGTACAGAGAATCGAGTAGCTCGAGATATTTCTTATATGATGTTTCGTCTTAGAGCAATTGGCAACAAGGTAAAAGCATCATAAGATTCATTTTTATTAAAAGAAGAGACGAAGAGACATTTTCTCCGTTGGCGGTTATTTAATGATAACTTTAAATAGTAAACGACATTGTCAAAAGACTTTAGCTTTGTCGAGAAGGGATTCTATTAGTTTCCAATCAATATTTGATTAGATATTGAAACATGGATGTTAATCAATCGTCCAACATGATATGAAAGAAGAAAAGTTAAAATATTTTGTCATGCTAGATACCTACGGATGAAGATATACACCCTGCAAATGATTATTAAATTGGATGTTGTAGAGTGATAAATTACTTCCTACTAGATATTTTTATATCATAAATTGAGTAGGTATAGCTAAAAATGATTAAGAAAAGATGTAATTATATTAATCAGTTTTACTTGATTGAAGATTATAAACAGATTGAATGGAATGCTTACAGTCTCCGTTGAGTTTCTAAAATGAAAGGTTTACAGTAGATTGGAAATTGTGGAATGAATGAAATCTTACATTCATCGAATTTTATAGTTAGTAAATCTTAAACTCCATACCTATAATTTACTTACAGTGTGATATGGGTTAAATAAAGTAAAAATGTGCTCATTCATTTATACGATAGTTACGAACAAAAGAATGAATTATAGCAAGTTATGATTATAAAGTAGAGGAAGAAAGAGTTTATAAAAGTTGTAAAATTTACGTCGTATAGAATATGAATAAATCATCGCGACAGAAATAGCTTATTAATTATCATGGAACAGATGAGAAATGCTAACGTTAGTTCACATGAAGTAAAGCTATTCCATGAACATTTTACCAATGCCAAGAAAGAATGAATGTACGTTATTAAATTTAATTCATTGGTAGAATTACAGCCTACTAGTATATAAGATTGCATAAAATAAATTATGAAAGTGATTGAACGACAGCTTTGAATATTTTTAGCTTAAATTTTGAAGTAAAGTAAGGAAGTGTAGATTCTTTTACCTAACTTATATGGAATGAATTACACATTTAAGAAAATTTGAGTAATCAATTATAATGATGCTTTTTATTCTATTCGATAGGGTAGTTTCTTCGATTTAAGCCCTACAACAGTGCTCTCGATGGTTGATTTTACGAGCACTGTAAACGCATTTGGAGAAGAAAATTCTTAATATGGGCCGTCCATTTCAATCATAAATTTCAGTCTTGCAAGTTATCAACGATGATGAATTGGAGTTCTTTTTAGAACCCTTATAAATGTTCAGTAATTTATACCATCTATTTTAAGCAGTCCACCCTTTTATTTCAATCATATGGTTTTAGCCTTTGATTGTTGCAATACCATCGATGGTGATTGGTAGTTGATCACTCGAACTCAAATAAAGGCTTCTTGATTACTGGAATCCGATGTAGCTGTAAGTCGTTGTTATTTAGTCTCGCTAAGACGTTCATATTATATAACCACGAGTTATTTTACTCAAAAACGATGGCTGAAGGGAAACTGGTTGCTTTTGCCTTGCTTCTGGTAAGTTCTTCTCAAAATGATTAAGTTATAACTTTCAACAATTGATTGAAAGACTTGTTATAGGCTATCTTTATGATTCGTATTAAAAGTAGAAAAGCATTGATATTTTTAGAAGTAATTTATGTAAAGTTCATTTCTACCGAGATTCAGATGATATTTCGATAGATGAAGACTATCATGTAGGAGAAAATTGATCCTGGCAAGCTATCGAGCACTTTTTTATCGTCAACAAATACTATTCCTGTAGGGAATTAGACGGCAACGGTGCAGTCTGTTTTTAAATAGGGTATCAAGCTCAAGTGATACTATAAACATAGATTTTCACTTTTATGGTTAATTTATTTACATTAGGAGCAATATCTTGACTATTTTGAGATTAATATCGTCTATTCATTAGTTTATGGCGAATACGATAATTTGGGACTTTGAAGTTGATCATAGTCGAAGATATGCAAGACAATCTTGAGAAGAGTTCGCTAGCCAGTTTGTCTCTGAACGTTATAAGTCAGTTTCTTTTGAGGCCTTATTAATAATAACTGATAATCTCTTAACTTGTTCTTTCAGCTCGGAAACTTCAAGAGTTAATCTGTTATTAGCTTGCTTTAACTGTTGATTCTCATTGGCTAAATTAGGAGAGCCTCGAGATGGTTGTATATTATTTGTTTTGACGGGAGTTGAAGGACTGGCTTTCTTTTTTCGTAGCTTGACACCATCTATGTAAACTATAGTAGATAAAAATACAAAAATGGATTAGTATCGAGGAAAATAGAAGATCAAATTCGTCATTAGGTAGGGTAAAAGTATTGAAACAGGTAAGCTATCCCACTTTTCGGAAAGAAGGAACAAATAGCCTGCCACTGGACAGTACGTTATACGAGTTCAAATCTTAATGCTAGTTCTAGAGACTAAACTCATGAAAATACAGTAGACTATTTCGATGCATTGATTCCTTATTTCTGCATGTATATGCTAGCTATAAATAATTCTATAATCACATAGTATGCCTAATTTTCTATTTCATAGTTTCCATTTTAATTAGTCCAATCTTTTGTAGAAAAATATGATCCTAGATACTAAACTGATGAAACTTCGTCGATAATGTTGATGCCTCTATTCTACCGTATATCTTATAAAGCATATTTTAACTTTAGGCAATTCTAGTAATCATTTAATAGGCTTAATATTCTCTTTATGAATCTAACTTTAATTAAGCTACTCCATTTTTTCCTAGGAATGATATGATGGTAGGCACTAAATTGATTAAATATGTAGCAGACTGTTTTCAGTTTATATCATATACAACAAGTATATCTATAAATCAATGAATAGTAGACTATTTCTGTACCATTAATACACATCTCTGCATGTGATTTTTTTGCTTTAAAGATTTCCAAGATTAACATACTTTGCTAAATCTTCTTTATGATACCTCCAGTTGTAATTAATCAAATCTTACGTTAAATGATATTGTCATAATTACTTAATTGATATAAAGTAGAGCAGACTGTTTTCAGTCTGGGTATCTACACGTATACATATCTATTTATTGACGAAAAGCACAGTAGACTATTTCTGTGCATCTAGTCTATGTCTATACATGTGCATTTTCCGACTTTAAACAATTCCAGAAATTACATAGAATGCACAATCTTCTCTTTTAAGGTTCCAGTTCTGATTAAAATGATGTTGTTATAAATAACAGATACTAAATTTATGAATGTATACTAGATCATTTTCGACCCATCTATTCCATATCTAATAATGCCTATTTCTGCATTAATAAATTCTAGAAATCATATACTATAGTATGCCAATCTTTAATAAATCCACTTTTAATCGCTTTAATCTTAGGTAAAAATGATATATTAATAGACACTAAGTTCATGAAAAGTATAATAGACCATTTCAACGCGTCTATTTTATATCGATGCATGTACATTTTAACGTTAAACAATTCCAGAAATTGTATATCACTTATGACTAATCTCTTTTATGATTTTAGTTTTAATTACTTCATCTTGGTAAGAATGATGTGATCTATTTACACTAAATGGATAAAAAGAATAGTAAACTATTTCTAATCCATGTTCTCTGTTTCTTCAAACTGGTGAAACTATGGGGTTAAGTATTCCGATTCGTCTGTTCCACTCCTAAGTATGTCTACTTAGCCTTAAACAAGAGGCACATTTTAAATTGCTCTCATAATTTCAATTTCACTCGATCTATCCCATTAATCAGATTTACAGTACGCTATACTATTTTTTATGTTATATACTTATCCTAACCATGTTTATGTGTCTCTATATATGCGTTTGTTAAATTGAATACGTTAATGTAAGTCGCTAAATAGGTCTAGTTGATATTCTTGTCCATTTAGCCTTAAACGATTCTATCCGTAAAGTAGCACACCTCAATTTTCTCTTACATTTTCACTTTCACTCAATCCATTCCATTTTTTAAAGACATAGCAAAAAATTGATCAGACTTACAGTACAGTAGGCTATTTTCTATGTTATATGCCTATCCTAACCATAGTGCTTTAAATTGAATATGTTTATGTAAATCACGAAATAGAACTAGTTTTCTCTTTCATAATTGCAGCCTTTACTCAATCCACTTCAGCTACGTTAAATAGAATAAAGTTGTAGGCACTAGTTTATCATGAAGTAAAACAGACTATTTTTAATGATAGATAGAGAAATTACCGTCATCTTCGACTTGTTGGCTATTATTCTCATTTTGGTCAGATTGAGGAGACGAAAATTGTTCTTCTGTAATAGTCTGCTCATGAATGGGTAGTTGTTGTTGATCACTGATATTTAATGTTAACCTCTTTTTCATCAATTCTAGTGTTTCCTCAATTTGGGACATGCGTTTTTTCAAGGCATGATTTTCTTCCAATACAGCCGCTTGATCTAACCCTAACATTTCCTGCCATGATGGATCATCAAAACGACTAACTTTTTCCATCATGGATTGCATTGTCGTAGGAGCTTGATGAGCTAATTGTTGGCTATAATTTTCATCATCAAAGAGAATATTTAATTTGTTGATTGCTTTTTGACGATAATGTCTGATAGAAATATTATGCGATAAGCGTGCTTCGTAGATACATTTTTGATATAATTTACTTGCTTTCGTTTGATCTAATCCAATGCCATAGCCAAAATGATGCATTAAACCCAAGCGATAATAGTGGCCAGCATTAGCGCATAATTCAATTTCCGATTTATAAAATTTATAAGCTAGCCGAAAGCAACGCTTGGATTTATTAGCATCAACATGTTCAGCATCGTTGAGGTAAATCTTACCTAAGCGATAATTAGCGTATCCTGCAGTATCTTCATCATAGGTAGCTGCAGTCTGATATAATCGAATTGCAAGGGCTATATTGGCATTTTCTAATCTCTTTTTCTCAATTAACTTGGCTAATTTACAAAATGAATGATAATTTTTCAATAGTCCAGCCTGTGCATATAAGCTACCGGCTAAGGAATATTGTTTTGTATCATCCAAACCTTTTTCAAAGATATAAGCTAGTTGATGATAGGCCCAATGACTACCAATCCAATGCGATTCTTCATAACTAGGTGCTAAGCAAGCTTGTCGGAAATAGCGTTTAGCTAATTTAAAATCCGATTGGCCATCATTAATACCATGTAAATGTAGACAACCTAAACAGACTAAAGTCTCGGCATAGCCAAGACTTGTAGACGAACGCGTTAAGTAATCGCTCATTCGCATGTTGCGTTGATTGGAATCACTGTCTGGATTAATACTTTCATTGGCTAAATGATATAAGGCTAATGGATGGCCTAATTCACCGGCCAATTTCATGCACTCAGTAATATCCTCATCGAAATCGTCATCAATAATATTAGCATAAGCAGATAATGCCCAATCGGCTAAGTTATAATAACCAGCAGCATACTGGTATTGCCATGACGATTTTTTAAAATAGTTAATGGCTTGCGTAAAAATTTGTAAATCTCGTTCTTCATTGGTCATCCATAATAAATAAGCAACCATATTATATAGTTGGCCTAAGTTCTCACTTTGTAGATTTTTCTCTTCTATTTCAATCGTTTGCTTATATTCTTCTAATATCTTCAAATAAGTCTCGCGCCATGAGATAGAATGAATAATAGTATGGGTTATTTCTTTATGGGCATTGCATGATCGCCTACCTTGAGAAGCTGCTTTCAAGCATAATTTACCACGTTTTAACATTAAATCTTGTTCACTGAGATGACCGTATAATTTTTGAACCTCTTCTTCATGGTTACCTAGTAATACATATAGCATATACATAGCAATAGGATGGTTACCTTGTGATGCTTTTTCGAAATAATTTAATGCTTTACTTAAATCGCTAAGTTGGTTATCACTCCAATCCTGATAATAAAATTGTCCTAATTGGTAATAGGCATGAGCGTTATTTTCACTTTGGCAATGATGTAGACAATCTTCTTTGGCGTCCAGGATTGCTTGATTGATGTAATCATCCTGGATGAATTTCTCCAACATAGGAGCAATTTCTTCCATCACGATCGATTGAATGCAGAATACAAGGGGAAGAAGATTGGCCAAGCAGTAGGTCTAGGGATCACTTTCTATGGAATTGTTTTGATTTACTTTTTGACTTAATCCTACTGTATTAATTTTTTCGTAGAAATAAAAACAACTCTCCTTGCTGATTACCAATAATAACAATAATTGTATTTTAGTAACATCCAGTCAATTACCGTAATAATTTAATTTTTAATTACTTTTCTTCCTTGTGTTTAGAGCGAGATTAGCTTTTGTAAGTGATCACTAATGTAATTAGAGATCCTAGCGACAAGAGATGGTCTTGACTTTACTAGCAGGAAATCTCCGTACTTTAAGATAAGGAAAATTAGATGTTAATACCTGGTTGTGATTGAAATCTTTTGGATCATTACTTGCCTATCGTCTTTATTATTGGACGTAATATTGACTAAAAAAGGAATAGATTGATCTTGCTATGAAGAAATTCCACTACGGTTAGTAGACGGAAGAATAATCTTTTAATGGTCGGCAATCATTAAAGTCGTATTGATGCTATCATTGATACATAGTATGAATCCTTTCTGTCATTTGAAGCTGTAGAAACAAATGTGGATATTCCTGTTTTTATTGCTAGTTGTAATAAGGTAGAAATGGCTGTAATTTCCCTTTCTATCAATGTCAATGTCATGGACAGGGATGTAATGATTTAAGCAGTGTAGACCACGTCAATCATCAAAGCTCTATCCTACAGAGATGGCTGATATCAATGTCGTCAGGCTTCTTTGAAATCTTAATGAGTCGATTGATGACTAAGCAAGAATAAAAAAGAAACAAGGAAGGAGAACTTGAGGAGATTGGATCGAATTCAGGATTACTAGCGCTGTCTTTCGATAGGGTTAAGGTAGAAAAATAAAGGAATAAAAATTGGATCGATATTGATTGAAGGCAACTAGAGCAGTCTTGACTCCATTCTAAACTTAGCTTGAGCTTTCATTGTCCATAAATTTCAATATCAATTTCAACTTACTAGCACAACTACTACCACTTGCTGTATTGATTTATTATATGGAAAAATGTGGGTATCCTCTACTCTACTCTACTTTCAACATTCTTCTTCTACTCTTCATACATGGACCTCCAATGGAAGCAGACATCAATGGCTTTATACTTGTGCCATCCTAGTTTACATGATAATAACGGGGACAAAAGCAAATTTTCGCACAATCATGCTTGCATCCAATCGCTATAGAAGAAGTATTTAATTGATCGATGCAGTATGTTGTTAACATATGGTAACATGAGAGACTGGATTGCTTATCCAATAGTATAGAGTTCCAATGCGTCCAAGTGCCAGCAAGGATTAGTCCTCTTTTCAAAGAGAATTGTCTACTTAGACATTATCATTGGTTAGTAGAGAAGGCTAACTTAATTAGCCTTACTCCAATTGACGTCATTCAGTTGTCTATAGGTAATGGCTATTTGTTAGTACTCTGTAAAGATTTGTCATGATTAGAATTGGATATTCTAATTCCATGAACGGCAAAATGGTGGATAAGGGGTAGAAGAGTTTAGTTTAGAATAGAGTCGATGAGAATGACAGCTTGCTAGTAGTACGAATGACTCTTTCGGTCTTGGTGAAAGACATAGGAAAGAAAGGACAAATTGCTTATCCTTAGTTATCGTTGAGCTAAATTGGCCTTGAACTCCATCAACTAGATGCTATGACATGTAGTACAGTGTAAGAATGAATAATCTTTCCCTTCCTTTAATACACTATCTTCAGCGATCATCATATCGATAAATTCTTTTAATGATTATTCATACCATTGACCTCCATCAGAACGATAAAGTTATCCTTAAAGATTTTTTAATAGTGTCAATACCATTAGTGGAGTAGAATAATTGAGTTTAGAATAGATCAGATAGGAATCATGTTTCGATAATAGTGGGAATAACTATTTCTAGCATGGTGTAAAACATAGGGAAGGATGGACAAATTGCTCAATTTTAGTTAGGATTGAGCTAATTGGTCTTGAAATGACTTTACTATACATGCTATGAGTAGTGTCGTGCAAGAATTCATAATCCTCTCCTTTCCTTTAATAAATCTATCCTCACTGATCATTATATTGCTAAATTCTTTTAATTAGCATCCGTATCATTGGCCTTTTATCTTTAGCAGAGTCTTACCTAACGTATAATATCGCTATCCTAGATTCTCATCAATATTGCAAATTGGTTTTAAATTAATTTATCAAGTTTACCATCACTTTCAGCCTAGTAATAAAGTCTTTAGTGATTTATGAAAATGGACTTTAAAAACTAATTGATTTTCTAGCCGTTACCTATACTACAACGATTAATTTCTGATGAATTCCAATTTTCCTCTTAAATAAAATTACTTTTATCATAGCTCCTCAAGATGACCTTATACATATTTTTAATAGATAAGTGTATACTTTTATAATATTATATAAACACTGATAACTGATATTGATGCAAATTTACTATAAATTGAATGATTTTTTAATCAAGTTTAGGTTCAACTTGGTATAAGAGGGTTAATAGCTACTGTAACATAGTTTCTGCAAGATTACTTATCTAGGAATGTAACGATATTAATTTATCTATGATTTTATGCATGTTTTAAATAGATAAGTGCACAGTTGTATAATATTATCTAACTACTAATAACTGTATTGATTTAAATAAACTATTAATGGACTGACTTTTCAATCAAGTTTGGGTTTAGCAAAGTATGTTGTAATCTTTTTAAAGCCACAACACTTGTTTCAATACAGAAACTTGAAGTAGAATCCTAAAAACAAATCTTCATTATGCTGCTATCATAGCAAGTAAATTAAGAGGAAAGCAAGAAAGGGCAAAGTTATCCTTAGCTATCGTTGTGTATTTCCAATTTGTCTCATAAATCAAGTTAATTAGCTTGCTATAAATTAGAGTACAATGATGTACTTGTATATCTCGATAAAGACGGTTTTCCCTTCTTGAATGTCTCACAAAATACTTAATTGGAATATCTAGCCACGGACTATAAATAGAGTTTAAAAATGCTAATTTAGATTTTATACTTTCGTTTTATAATGCTATGATATTATTTTTGATCAGCTGACACAATTTGCTTCAGCCTAGACGAGTTTACTTATAAATATCTCAAAATTTGCCATGTTTTTGTACTATAGATTTTACTTTCAAAAATGAGTAGCATATTCTCTGTATCTTAATTTTATGAAGAGATAACAGGTTAACATTGGCTATTCTCGCTATCAAATGCAACGGATTAAACGAGAAAGGATAAATAAGCGACTCAAAGCAAATCCTACTCTACTGTCGATTTCAGTTTCAAGGATAAAGGTGATAGATGTAGTATCTTATAGTGTCTCAATATAGGTTTAGGCATAACAGGTTAAATTAGACCATTCTTGCCATAAAATAGTTACAAAAGAAGAGTAAATGATCAAAAATAGTTACGAAACTCATAACGATTGAAATATCAAGGCTAATAACACATCATAATTAATTAAGAGTATAAAAATGAATATAGAGTCGTGTAAATTCTATTCGTATCTTTTATTATTACATGTCTAGCAAGATTTTCATTGCAAATATTGTTAACATAAGTGATGATTGATAAATTTTCTCCAATATCTATATGACAAAATTGAGGCGATCATTTTCCATAAAAAGATTAATTGCATATTCAATTTGGTGAGCAAAAAATTATTTTTTGGCTCAATCAATGGTCAAAAAGGCGCAGTAATGTTTTGCCTATCATATTCGTGATATATTCAATGTTTTTAAGTATACAAATTCGGCAAAACGGATAGGTAATCAAGCGTAGTGATCATTGCAATATAGAATTGCTGATGAAATTTTTAATGTAAAATTTGGCAAATCCATAGCAAATGATAGTTTAGGTTGATATAAAAATGATTAGAAAGGTATATGTTTTATTATTTAAACATAATTTAGGATAAAAACAGGATTCGCGGATTCATGCTTTGATTATGTATCTTAAAAATAGTAGCATCGTATCTGTAGTTAAGACTAGTAAAGTTTCACATAATATTCAGGAAATATGTATTCAAAATTTTTTCTGCAGTAGACAGAATATCAAATGGATCGTATTTTCTAAAGTAGCTATAGTGCGATGTTAATGATATTCTTATCCACGCTTCGTTCTTATTCTGGCCATTTCTTAAACCATGACCATTTCGTCGCTAAATAGAAATGAATAAACTCGACATGAGTAGGAAATTGATTAAACAATTTTTAATTCCAATACTCGTATTAATATCACAACTTTAAACTAATTTAAAAAGTATTGGTAGTGTTAGGATAGGTATGGATAAATATATTAAATGATAGGAATAGTAAGCTCACTCGTTATCTTTGATATCAGCTGTTCCACGGGTTTCTCGGACATTTTCTAAAGTAGTTTCATAAATATAAATGACTTAAATTAGCAATTTTATTTACTTTAATAAAGAATTCTCTAGCTTTATTATCATTCTAAAGGATAATAATTAATTTAGAGCAATTTTGATAACAATAGCAATTCATATAAATGCCATTTTACAACTATTCGCTGTAAATTTGCATAAAGTTAAACTTTAGCCTTTCAAACTGGATCAACAGCTCGATTTAAGCTATAGCCTTACCAATTGGTCAAATTTGAAATTATTTTATAGATAATTCGTATTCAGTGTATAGAGCAACCATTAAATATTTTGCTAAATAGCTACTGTGCACTCTAAATAGGTCTATAAAAGTAGTCGTAAGCCTTGAACTAGGTGCAGAAATAAAACTGAAAGAACCAATACTTTATATTAAGTCTATACCGCAATCGCTGGATAACTTGATGACATCAGTTAAGAACTATACAGTAAGCTTTGACGTAAGTTGCAGAATCGAAACTTTCACTATTACTGCCGCTGATTTTATATCTTTTTCGCTAATAGCTTGATCAATTTATGAAAATATATTTAAAGAATTATATCACTATTGAATCTATACATCGACAACTCGCCTATACCGATAGTCCGATAAACAGGTCAAATTTGAATTTTTCTATAGTGATAATTCGTAATTAATGTATAGAGTAATCACAGAATTTTGCTGGATAGCTACTATACACTCTAAATAGGTCTATGAAAGTAAACAGAAGTCTTATACTAGGCAACAGAAATAAAAATTAAAAAGAACAAACGTTCGTACAGCTTGTATACTAAATCCATACCGTAATCGCTGGCCAGCTTGATTAAATTATAATTATTTAGAATTATACTGTAAGCTTTGAAGCAAGTTACAGAATTAGAACTTGCATAATTACTGGTGCCTATGCTATATATTTTCGCTAAATAGCTTGATCAATTTACAAATGCCTGTTTAAAGGATAATTGAATCTATATGTCAACAGCTCGACAATCTTTTATAGTATTTTGGTACTAATCTTGCAATAATTTGACTATTTCGTGTAGTTCAGATCGCCTACGATACATAGTTATTCCCAATCATGGAAGATTGCAGATATTTTAATTTCAATGGCAAGCAAAACTAGTCCTGAATAACACTTGAGAAAAAGTATACTTCTGTATCTACTCGTACATATCAAGCTGATTGCTTTTTTGTCGGATTCTCTTTTAAAGAATTAGTCAGTTCTATGTATTAGTATTAGCTAAAGCAATTAGCTAATTGTAATATCAAAACAGTAATGTAGGAAATAAGACTGATGGAAAGATTCAATAACGGAACAAGCAAAGTGAATTTATTTTATGAATCGCTATTGGGATTTGTAGAATTCAATACGGAGGCCACAATAAATTACAGTATTATCCTAACTTACCATCTATATTATTTCCCTCACTTTCGAGTATAACAGAAGACTTTTCATCAATCATATCTAAAATCAAACAGATTGTGATCTTTATTCATCAAGAAATAAAGTAATCCATACTAAAAATAGCTTACAGTAGACAGAATAGAAACATACCGGATAATGTTTCGGCTGTATCGCTCCTCGTCAAGGCTAATTCTCGCACTAAATTGGCTAAATCTTGCTGTTCATCCGATGACGCTTTGGAGATTAAAATTTTCTTCAAGAGATTAACATCGCTACGTAATTGCTTGACTTCTTGTAATAACGGTTGCAATATTTTATCGTTGCTTGTTAGCTGTTGTGATTCATTGCTTGCATCGACATCGTCTTGAGCATTGTAGGCCGATTTCTTCAATTTTTGGACTTCATTCATTAATTCGCAAACTTGTTGATTTAATAAATCATTCTCACGAGCTAAGATACGGCTTGTCGACATTTCTTGCACTGTTGTCGGTGTCGCTAATAGCTGATTGCTGCTTGTTGTTGTTGTTGACTGCTCTTGTACAGCTAAGGATAAATCAACACTTGTAGAAGACGATGATGATAATGTTGTCGATGCTGGTGTTGTGATGGTTACCTCAATTTCTTGCGTTTGCAATTTAATTTGTTCCAATTCTTTACGGTTGACATAACGGTAGCCATACTTTGCTGGATCCGATGTGGAAGTGGCAAAGTAATCACCATCACTCGTCATCAAGCTTGGCTTCTTAAAGACTCCATAAACTGTCCATTCCGTCCCCATCACAACACAAGGTACTCGTCGATTGCTGACGGGTAAAGTTTGCTCGGTTTCATGATTATTGGCAGTAATACCTTGAATAAATGTATGAATGATCCATTCATCGAATTCTACCACAGATGCTGGTAATGGTTCTGATTGATCATATTGGTGAGGTAAATAACATTGGACAAATTCAAGTGCACATTGGCCTAATAATTTAGCACCACAACTAGTAACACATAATAATTGATTTTCGTAACTAAGTGTTAACATTCGAGCAATTTTGTCAGCAATTTTCTCCACACGTTGTAGACCAATTCGTGTTATTTTTAATCGCTCTTGTCGAGAGGGATGCGATAATCGATGGCGGTGGGTTGAAGAAGAGGATGCTGCTGCTGCTGATGATGATGAAGGCGTTGGTGATGCAGTTAATTTTTTAGCTAAGGATGGACTATTATTATCGGAGAGTAATAACTGGCTTGAAATAGTTTTCAATTCCATGTTAACAGTAGGATCGAAAAAGATTTCACCACTTGTATCTAATCGCTCGAGGGAAGGTATTAATAATGCTTTAATTAAGGATAATCGACAACTATGATAGAATGTACATAGTGGAGGATAATTTTGGACATGTTGTAGATTGGAGATTTTTTTCATTTTATCATTCCTAATTTTAGTGTAATCTTCTGATTCCTGAATTAAACGAGCTAATTCTTGGCTGGTATCTCTCTCATCACTTGTTAAGTTGGTTTTTAAATTTTCAATAGCAGTATCAATATTACGCTGTTGATTATCAAGATTAACAATTTCTTCTTTTAATAATTGGATATAACCTTCCAGGAAGATATCCTTGACTTGAAGGTTATCAGCAGCTAAGGATTGAAATTCGGTGGTTAATTTTTCATCTAAAATGGATGGTATTTCAGATGGATCAGTGGATAAATTTTCACATTGATCGTAAAGAGATAGCAGGGGTAATAATTCAATTTGTTCCACCTGGAGACCTTTGGAATCAAGACGGAAACCATCTAAATCATTGAGTGATTGCCTCATTTCCGCAGCATCAGTAAAAGCGGACAAGATCGGTCGATTAGGTCGATCAGAATTATAATTTGAATTGTGGCGATCATCTTGTCCGTTTTCTTCTTGATTAGCATGATCTTGACGCGTTAAATATTGATCATATTGACGTTTGGCTTTCTTACCATACCATTTATCCAAGATGTTATAAGTTAAGCCAGCACAATTCATGGCTAAGCGATAGAAATCGATCGCTTTACCACCATCGGCTTTCACACCATAACCATATTGATACATAACTCCAATATGATAACATTGGCCAGCTGTTGGCTCCTTTTGTCGTACTGCTTCATCATAATAACGAAAAGCTTCCACAAAATGCTTACATGCTAATCGATCATCATAATATGCTGCCCCTTCTCGACAATATAATTTACCTAAACGATAATTTGCATAACCAACAGCATGATAGCTAGCATCGATGGCTAATTGATATAATTGGATTGCATCATTGACATCGCGACTTGGTATACGATTTTTTTCAATTAATTTGGCTAATTTACAGTAAGATTCGTAGCTATTTTTGCGCGCAGCATAGGCATAATAACAAGCAGAGCGTGAATAATCGATATCACAGCCTAATCCTTGCTCATACATATAACCTAAGACATGAAATGCGCGAATATTACCAAAACTATCGGTATAATCGAAAGCGACTGCAGCTTCTTCAAAGAATTGCCTTGCGATATTGAAATTTTTCATTTGCCCACCAATCCCCATTAAATAGACATAACCTAATTCTAATAATGTCGATGAATAACGATAGGTGCAAGAATCTCTTAAATAGCTATAGGCGAGTAAGCAATCATCTTCACAATTAATGCGTGGATTTAATTTTTGTCGCGCTAATACATATAAAGCCCGAGGATGATGCCGTTCTGCTGCTTTCAAGCAATATTCTTGTATCTTTAATTCATCGCGTTTAACACCGAAACTATTATGATACATCATACAGCCAACATTGAAATAGGCAGCACCATTCCCTAATTGGCAAGCACGAGTGAAATAATCCATAGCACGACGATAAATGCTAGCGCTATTATTTAAGTTTAACTGCACCGTTAGATAGCCGATTTCGTTGTAAGTTTCAGCTAATTGATCGGTTTCCATCGTTCGACGGCCTTCACTGACATCGGTTAAAATTTGCTTATAACGTTCAACAGCTCGATTGATGATATCATGCCATAATTGAGATTTACGATAGGCTTTCCATAAGGTTAAATTGGCTTTACAGTAGTGATTATCTTGTGCTGCTGATTTAACATAAGTGCGCACTTTTAAATCGACCAATTCATCTTCACTAACAATTCGAACATAGCAATCGCTTTTAGCAGGATCACTCCCATATAATTTATACAACATATATTGTGCTGCTGGATGTTTTGCATCAGAAGCCAGCTGGTAATGATAAAATGCTTTGTTTAAATTTTTAGGTACCGATCCGAAGCCATGATGATAGATGTAGCCAAGTTGGAAATGGATATGAGAATTACTATCAGTTTCCGATAGAAATAAGTAATGTTGGAAAACATTGTTCATTAAATCATTTATGTAATTTTTATTCAGGTAGCGATCTAAGAGTGGATTGCTTTGAGAATCCAGTATGCCCGATTGGCTACGACTGATGGTAGCACTGCTAACTGTGCTCATCGTATCCATTTTCACTGAATTCAACAAGATAGGGGATCAATCTTGATTCTTTTCCATAAACACTAGATTGTCTAGAGGATAGAATAGAGTAGATATTGCTCAGTAAAATGACAGAAGTAAAACAGGGTGCAACCTGGTATAAAATGGATGGCTTTCGAGCATCGATTAGTACCGATTCAAGCAATGAGATGACAATTAATAATCGAAATGGATGATTATTGATAATCTAAATTGATCAATGACATTAAAAGTGAATAGTTTCAGTAGAAAGAGCAAAAATTCAACAAAAACTGGTGGTTAGATGATATTAGATAGGAAAACTCGAGTATAGTAAAAGCTTTCGAGAAGTGGAAATTGATAGCTATCGATGGTATCAGATAGAAATTACTAAGATCGATAACCCATATGTGGATGATATTAGACGAAATAACTCTTGCAACCTGAGTAGAACTTGCAAGAGAAATTGATTATTATAGACGATATGATGGAATTGATGATATTGAACAAAAAATAACTTGAGTATAATGATAGCCTTAAGAGGAAATCGATGACTATTGATGGCACTAAATAGCAATTACCAAGCTCGATAGACCAGTAAGTAGTTGATATTGGATGAAAAAACCTCTAGCCACTTAAGTAGAACTTGCTAGAGAAATAACTATCAATAGATGGTCTATCTAATGGAGTCAATGATATTGAAGAGAATAGGTTGATAACCTATTCAAAAAGGAGTTCGTCAAGTTAAGTTAACCTAGTTGATTGAATGATATTGAATAAGAAAACTGGAATATAGTCAATGCTTTAGGGAAGAAAGCCGATAGCTCTCGATGGTATCAAATAGAAATTGAAAGCTCGATCGATGAACACGTAAGTTAATGATATTGGACGGGAGAATTGTAGCTACCTGAGTAGAACTTACAAGAAAAATTGACTCTTGTCGATGATCGAATGGAATCGACGATGATATAGAACAGAATAGCTTGCTAGCCTATAGGAAAAATAAAGTTTATTGGGCATAAAAGAACGATCGTTATAAATGATTTAGCTGGCTTAGTCATGATTGAATATTTGGAGAAATTTGGAAAAAGTCGAATAAGAATAGATCGTAATCAGTAATACAAGAGAATGATTGATATCCTACAAGTAAAATCGTCGACGAATACATGTAGAAGTGATGAAAAAGTTTACTTACAGTTATGAAGACAATAAGTTGCTGATGATTTATTCGATTGAATAGTAAATTTAGACCGGTGATATTGCAAAGTAGATTATCTTGGCAGTTATTAATACTGATGAGCAATCATTTTAATTAGCGACACTAATCGATCTAGTTGAGAAATCCAAGTTCAATCGATAAAATTAATGGCAGGACTATAACTTTTTTTTCTCCGTCTCTTTTATCGTTTCGCTGACTAATGTTTAGAATACTAACCCCAGTAGAGTAGATAAAGTTATTATTCCTCTTGTGATTCAGTTGAATTGTAGTCTATCTACCTTGTCCTTATCGGTAGTCTTGCATATTTAGAAGGCTTTTACATGATAATGTAAGGATGGATATGCATAATTACTTTTGTCTTTTCCTCTAGCCGTCATAATAAGACCAATCTGAGCACTCTCTATTGATGTTGGCCGCAGTTTTTCCCCTATTTGCTCTAACTATATATTATTGCAATTAGCAATGTATAGAATTCTTTCCCGACTCTGTATATCATTACGATTGTATACCGTAGTCAGGCATAGACGCCATAGGTTAAGCCGATTATTGTCATCATTGTCTAATCCATTCTTAGCCTTTCTATATTGAGGATTAATTAGTACAACTACGTCATCATCAGAGAAGGAAATCGTTGAATTAGTATGCTCTGGTGTTAGCCAATTTGGATTTATACTATCGATAGAGATGATTGAAAGAGTCTGGTGAAATTCCAATTAAAGATCTTATGAAAGTATGGGTTGCTGAATGCTTCTAATTTACTATCATCAGATAGGTGATAGTATAGTCATCCATTGATTGTAAACAATCGTCTTCCAATGATTTATTACTAGATCAGCTTATGGAATATTGCATTATAAGAAAATGCTGATCATATAGAAGTATTTTATAGTTAAATAGGATTATACATTTATATTATTGACAAACTACTGCATAGCAGATGCATCGTACACAACTGATGACAACACACATTAATCTTCCAATATTTATAATTTATTACTAATCTAGGTTATATAACTTGTATCATGAGCTTGAGAAAATGTTGATAATAGCGAAGAAGTATTTTATACTGTAATAGGAATTACTTTTATGTTGTTGACAAGCTACTGTGTAAGGTCTATCGAAATAACCCGATGAGAACAATCATCTTCCAATAATTTATGACTAGTATAGGTTATGGAACGTTGCATAATGAGGTTAAGAAAATGCTAATAATAAAGAAGCATCTTATAGTTTAATAGGTATACACTTTTAGGCTATCGGTAAGTTACTGTCCAAGGTCAATCAAAAGCACATAATGAGAAATAATATTCACGAGAAATAACAAAACGATTCTTAATAATGGCCAAATGATGAGATACATTCTGAATGAGTAAAGAAGGCTGAGTGTATCCAAATGTACTTTAATAAGAATGAAGATCATTTAACAGCTAGGATTAAAATGCTTTTTAGAACCAAATACTTTCTTACTAACTCAATTACTGAATAAGTTTATTCCAAGCCCTTAGTCTGTCTCTATTTTATTTCTAGATCGACATTCCTTAGAGGATATGATATACGGTGATATCTCGAAATGATGACATATAATCCGTATAAAATAGACTAAGTGTAAATTGATCTTAAAAATGGAGATCAGATACAGTTCGATTAAGATCGCAGAAAGAAGCCACAAGGTTGTTTTTTAATATATCTTTAACCTGATACTAATTCTATGACTTAATAAGTATATTTCAAGCCTTTACTGTCTCTATATTCATATTCCATACATCTATTTCTATAAGATACGAAATAAAGTAATGTACTAAAATAATGACGTACAATCCTCACAAAATAGACTGAGAAATTGGCCTTCAGAATATAGGTAATAAATACTTTTGAAACATGCCTTAAACTGTTTCAGTATGATATGCACACCCATTCTAATTAAATTAGTTAATAAGGTTGCTTCAAGTCTTTATAATATCTATATTTTGCATTCCAATCCAATGTTGCTTAGAGGATTAATTATACAGTGATATTCTGCGATTAATTAATAATTGAGCTGAGCTATCATTCATGCCTATTTCTCTTGAGTTTCTACAGGAAAAGCTAATAGGACAATTGCACATCATGATCCAGTTGGTAATTGACGCCTATTTATGACCAAACTACGATAAAAAGAAGTGTAAATTACTATTCTGCTATTCTATTAACCCTTTATAACTGTTTTCCAAGTCAAAAATTTCTGGTATTTAATGGTATAAAATAAGTGATTGAAGGTAATTTAATAAGAGGATAATCCGTGACCTTGTTTTATGTAAATGTCCTTCATATTCATTTCTGTATCAATATCACGCTACAGATATTTGACGACGAATCTAATTTCAATTTCTTTACGTCCATTCTGAACCTATAGCCCTACGGAAACAGTCAATAATGAAATGATCTGATTTGAGCTGTTTTGCACATTCACTCATCTTAAAAACAATTACCATATTGCCATTAACAAGCTGCAATAACATGATTGTACAAATTCTTGTGCTATAATTCTGACTACTATTTGCGATGGTTGAAATATGGCCCAGATTAGGTTATACGCGTGCATACACCTAAGGTCACGTCGATCATTAGAATTATTATCTACGCAAGAATTTCCGGTATTTAATCCCATGAAATAAGTTATTAGAGGTAGTTTAATAAGAGGATCATCCATGGCTTTACGTCAATTAACTGTCGTTCATGTTTATTTCTGCAATGATATCATACTATGGATATTCGACGACGAGTCTGATTTCAATTTCTTCTTGAAATAATTAATGATGAACTGATCTGGTTTGAAAAGTTGTATGCATCCATATATCTTAAAGATGATTATTATCTAGCCATTAACAGGCAGAAATAATCTAATTATGCAAATTCTTGCACTGTATTCTGACTATCGTTCGTGATGGTTAAAATATAGTCTAGATAAGGATATACGAGCCTTAGGTCATGTCGATATTTAAGGCACAACAATTTTCGGAAATATTGCGATTCCTGACATTGCATACTGTACAGTGTACATATCATAAGATATCTATAGTTAAGAATTCTGAACAATGTTATTCGCATGCAGACTTTTTCAATAGTGTCTGCTATTTTATTGTAGAACATTCATATTATGACCGTTATGGATTAATTTCCGGACATGAGTGATATAGGGATAACAATTCAATGTCAACATAATCTGTTACCATGATGAAACACGTTTATTGTTGGATTGGAGTCTTACATCGTTCAAGCAATTGAGTAATATATCTTTTATTAATGGATTAAAATTACTTAAGAGACAATACTAATGATAGACCGAGTACTTTAGCATACAATAGAAAACTTTGCTCTACCAGCAATGAGATCGAAATATTCTATTAAGATGCATTACTATTAGGAGCAAGTCAACAGACTGCAGTCAGCACGTTCCTGTTTTATAAAAATTAAATAAATATAAGCATACTATAAAATTATAAGCAAGTTGTAATTTCTTTGCATTCATCATCACAAACATTATTTCATATTAATATTTGCAGAATGCATATGTACCACGATGTAGTTTCCAGTCAATAACCTTCATCATGATACATGATGTTGTATACATACAACTTTATGCATTAATTCTCTCGACCATTTTTTCTATGCTGTATAAATGTAGGTTTTTAATCATGATTTAGGGTTATCGAAATAGCGCAATGGATAAAAAACTCAGCTACAGGTGAAAATTTATTTCGTGTCTTTTAATAGAAACCAGCTACAGGGAATTAGTTTTATTGCGAACTATGAA